CTCTCTCGCTCTCTGGGTCTGTGTGTTCAGGCATAAGGGCGTGTGTGTGTGTGGGTGGGTGGGTGCGTAGGTGGATGTTTGACACATTGGCGTGCCTGGAAACACATCCCACATCAGTACTGGCTATAAGGTCATGCCGTGATTGTATTGCCTCTTGCTCTTGCTTTTCCACTTTGTTCTACCCAGGGTGTGTTACTCATCAGACGGCCACAAGAGCTACTTCCAGTCAATCGACTCAGAACTGTCCAGCGACTGCCACATGGGCAGACGGCCGTCGCAGTTCGAGTTGTCAATGCAGCCGGTGCGTGTGTCCACTCAAGACGGCGACGCTCGGCGAAGATCGGCAGACCCTGAGCAGCACATCACCGGCAACTCCCCCGGTGGTCAAGCACCGCAGCCGCCACCGTCAGCGATGCCCTGCCTGGTGAAGAGGGAGCTGGACATGCGGGACTCGGCTCCCGTCATGTGCTCCACCACGTCGCCACGACAGCGGAATCCGCTCCGCAAGTATCCCAGCTTTCCGTTCGACGGCAGCACGCACCGGTTCTGGGCGGACGCGCGAGCCGGCGGACCCTCGTCGGACGACACGGTCGATCTGGACGAGGACAACGTTCTGCTGGCCATGCAGGAGCGGCGCAGGGAGAGCTCCATCGCCCGACACCATCTCATCAGCTCCGGCTCCAGCTCGATCGAGGACAGCGGTGTGAGCTCGGATGCCACCTCGCCCACGCCCTCCGGCTGGATGCATCACCACCGCGGTGGTCGCGACAAGCAGGCGGCGTACGCGCGCCATGCCGACCACTGGCCTGAGCCACTGCTGGAAGATGTGACCAGCGCCGATGGTAGCCTACGTGGCTTCAGAGCTGGCGCTGGCCCCAAGCAGCAGCAGCAGCAAAGAGGCGAGCATCAACAGCACTACAGTGTGCTTCAACGCTACCAGCAGCCAAAGCGGCAGCATCAACGGCACCGAGATCTGGAGAACCATGCATCGCACAACAGCAGCTTTGGAAGCGGTGGCCCTGCCGACATATCGAGTGATGACTACGGGTACGGAGCACGGCGACGGGCAAACACAGACGCCGGTTCGTTGACTTCCGCCACTGGCGCACACCGCAGACCCCACGCAAGCAGGTTTGCCGCTTCCAGACAGCAAGGCCAAATCGGCGGCGGCGGCAAAGCCGGCATGGAGGAGGTTTCCAATGGTGCTGCGGGTAGCATGGCAACCGCGTCGAAGTATGGCGGCCAGAAAGAATCACGCACTACCAGCATAAGCAACAGCATCAAGCACCGATTCTCCCGCAAAAAGGTTTCGCCAAAGAGCGCTCAGCAGCAGCAGCAGCAGGCAAAGCGAGACGCGACCCACAATCGCAGCGACGCCAGCACTCAGTTCACAGAGTTTGATCTTCTGGCACGGCGCAGCCCGGGTGAAGAACTGGACGATGGCAGGTTACCGCCCGCTCCTCCGAACACGTTGACCATCAACCCCAGCGGTAGCAACTGGGAGAACGTGAGTACCTCCAGTGGACGCCTACTCAAGACAGAGTCACCGAGCGGAGCAAGCGACAGCAGCCGATGTACCATCGACACGGACATGTTCAGAGCCTCTTTCAGCGCGGTCAGTGACACGGGTGACGACGACGCCAACGAAGACGACTGCTTCCCGTCGCAAGAAGACCTGCGCGTCAGCATGCCGTGCGCCGCTCGCAGGGTGTTGCCACGGCAACGGTGCGCCACCTCGCCGCAGCTCAACCTGTCCATATTCACGCGCCGCGGCTCCCAGGAGCGGCCGGACGTCCTGTCCCTGGGTCGGATCAGTCGCCACGCTCGCAGCTGCGCCGCATCGGCGCAGGCCACCAGCGAGGAGAGCGACGCGATGACGTCCGTCGAGGAGAGCGGACTCTCGTCGCCCGGAGAGATGTGCACAGCACTGGGCGGGGGAGAGCGTCGGGGTGTTGCCATGGCGGCAACGTCAATCGGACCAATGAGCATGCTGCAGGAGATGACGGCAGCGACTGCGGTATACAAAGGACGCGAGCGCAGTCACACACACAGCGCTGGCAGCAGCGTGGGCAGCCCGCGCTATGACTCCGTGCGGCGGCCTAGCTCCAACGAGAGCAACGCTGTCGAGATGGAGAGCCTGACGACGAGCATGACCTCGTCCACGTACCAGCGCATCGCGGCATCCGACTGGGAACGACACACGTCCGTTCCCAGCCACGACTCGGTCAGCTGCCTGGGCATGTCGGAGCAGGACGACGGTGTGGGAAGCGCGGCCACGCATCATGCATCGCAGGGTGGCAGCACGGACACTGAGGACGAGCTACGCAAGCATCACCACTTCCACCACCAGCAGCAGCAGCACTACCAGCATCGCATGCGACACTGCAGCACTGTGGAGGTCTCACTTGACTCTCTAGAGCCCGTTCCCAGCACTCTGTCGCAGTCACCGACGTCCACCCTGGAACGATCCCGGTGGAGATGTGCAGCGGAGCAGGCCATACACCGGAGTGCCGAGTCATCAATGTCCTACGGCAGTGACACTGTGATATTCCCACATCCCAACATTTACATGTCCATCAAGAAGTTGGCAGCGGCTCGTACGTACATGCTCGGCGGCGGCAGCCATAGAGCACCCGTAGCCATGACACCGCCAGCCTGCCTGGAGGAGGTGTCGCCACTGGCGTCTTCCCTGCAGGATCTGACCATGAAAGAGCGACCTCCGTCCGTTACCAGCGCAGCGTACATCTCCCTCGACTTCACCGACTCGTTGGACTCGGCCAAGAGCGGTGTCATGCTGCCGGAAATCCAGTACTCGGACCTGTGCCATCAACGGCCACCGCCCGGGCAAGCCAGCGGGAGCGCATCACCAGCACGAGGCTCGCCGCTGTCCAGCCTTTCGTATCGTTCCCGTGCGCAGTCGATGGACAGCCAGTTTGCGCGAAGTTCCCGCGGCTTGCCACAGGCCCCGGTTCACACAAATTTCAAAGAGCAGCAGCTTGCCGAAAACTCGACTTACCTGCCCAGAACATTCGCATCTAGGACATCATTCGAAAGTCCTCTACACACTCGCAAATTCCCTAGCGGCATCAGCCACAGCAGCAACATTAGCTTACAGAACAGGACCAACAGTAACAACAGCATCAGCAACAAGAACCCCAATCCGAACAACAACCCCACTGCTAGCCACAGCAATGCGACCGCGGGGAAACAGTCGCACAAGACTGCACGCCGCTCTAACACGTCGTTTCCGGAGTGCGACTTCCACTTGAAACCTGACTTGGCACAGAAGACGGCGACCTCATCGACCACACCCATCCCTATCATGAACTGCTCCCGACGTCGCTCGGTGGAGTTTGTCCTCGATGACGTGCCACACGCCAGCAGCAACGATGCACTGACCAGGAAAGCACCATCGGTCGGCAGTAGAGAGTCGGCGGCGGCGATGTCATCCAACTTCAGCTGGACGTGTCAGTCGTTCGGGGACATTGCATCGCTGACAAGCAGTAGCGGTGGTGGCGGCAGAAGACCGGTGCTGAGCTCCGAGAGCACGGTACACGACAGCACGGCATCGCTGGGCCTGTCCGAGCCGCCGCCGGTGCAGCATGCCACACACGGTGTCAATGACTTGCCCCACCACCATCATCAGCATCGTGGTGTTGGCGGCAGCGTGGGAGCACTCACCGGCAGCATCATCCCCTCTGCATACTCCCTGACGCCGTCTTCCGGCGGAGGCAACAGCATGCCAAACTTGAGGAAGTCGCCAAGCATCCAGTCAGCGCTTGTGGTGTCGTCAGAGAAGAAGCACTTCCTCGGCAACATCCGTCGCACGTTCAATTTCTCCGAGTTGAGCTCCAGCTCATTGCCAAAGGAGTCATCGCACGGTGGTGGCCTGGGAGTCAGCAGTGACCGGCTGGACACAGCGGCAGAAGAGGCTATCTACGAGCGTGTGCCGCAGAACATGCGCAGACACACTCTCACCGCCGCCCTGCCCAAGCACCTGAGGAACAAGGCCAGGTCGCGACGCGGCATGGAGCCGTCTTCGTCCTTCCACAAGAACTCCAGCAGCCGCGACGACACCGCCACAGGCAAAACGGCTGTGGAACGCAGCACCAGCATGGGCCGTATCTCCGTCGCGAGATTCAGCGAAGCGATGCGATCTCGCAGCGAGAACAATCTCCTGGACGACAGCAACGACGAACCGTGCGACGCGGAACGGCAGAGAAGGCAGAGCCGTTCGCAGCAGCACTTGCAGAAAACGCTCAGCGCCAACGAGCGGGTTTACGAGGACTGCCGAACGGTTCTCAGCAGCGCCAGCAGTATCACCGGTGGTGGTGGTGGTGGTGGTGGTGGGGCCGAGTTTTCCAGTCTACTGTCACGTTCGTTGAGCAAGAGAACGCGTCCTGAAGGCAGTACGCCAGTCACAGCCAAACCCAGCATACGGACATTATCGCCCCCGCCACTGCCACCTGCATTTTCGGACGACGCTGCCCACAGCCCACCCGACAGCAACTACGAATGGCCAATCAACTTCTGCCTGCCAGCACTGACGGATTCGGCCGTAGAGCTAGCGGCTCCAGTCAGCAAGCAGGACTCGGTTGGCCACGCGCGGCCAGTTGCCACGGAAACGATACAAGAGCGACGACGCTCCGTGGGTAGCTGCATGACGTCGCCGGGTGGGTTTGAGAGTTTGGTGATCGACTCCTGTTCGTCGGTGGGGCGTAACTCCATCCCGGACATTGCAGAGTCTCCCAAGCAAGAGCGTCAGAACAGCAGCCCGTGCTCTTCACCCGTCCTTGTACAACGCAGTCTTCCGGCCAATTACGTAGACTCACGCTCACTGGCCTTTCTTACGCCCGCGTTCGTTGACGAGGCGTACTCACCGCCTTGCCCCGGCTTAATCACCTGGCAGAAAATGCAGCAGACGGGTGGGATGCCCCAGGCAAGTGGACCGACATCACCGCAGGCATCACCGCCTGCAGCAACCATTCGGAGCCCCATTACCTCACGTCAGTCTTCACCGATAGGGGCGCCCACACAAACCTCAACCCTGCAGAAGGAAAACTCTTCCGGTCGGAAGCGACTGATGTCCGACGAGGACCATCAGTGCAACAACACGCTGACAGATAGCTCCGGCTACGAGGCACCTCACGCACTACTCCTGGGGAAAAAGGACATGAAGAAATCGTCCTCAAGCGTTCCCTACGCTGCCAGCATTCTGTCGTCAACGCTCGCTTCTCCTCTGCCGGATGTGTCCGTCTCGTCATCCAGTGAGCTCATAGAGCTGCTGCACAGTAAGTTTAAACTGTACGACTTGCCGTCCGGGGCGTGTATCTCCTCCGCCCCACCTACTCCCGTAGCAACGACAACATCAGCAGCAGGAGCAGGGGCTGGCAGTCAGTGCCTGGATGTCAACGAACCACCGTACGACAACGAGAGCATCTACTCCACGCCGTCCATGCCGTCGACGCCGAGAAGCAGTGGCACGGCGGGCGGTGGCGGCTACAAGAAGCGTGCCACCATCGCGCACACCGTGTCCGCAATGCCCTCGTTTCACGGGCGCACTCGCAGGTCGTACCCGAACGAGGGCGGCGCGGCACACAGCTTCTCCGAGTTTGGCAGCGGCGTCACGGCGGAGCTACACAAGCAACATCAGCTGATACTGTCACCGAAGGCCAATGGTGCCGACGATGACCTGGTCTTCGGTATTTCTCCCTCACCTGGCGGCACAGCCAATGCAGGGCAGAGCAGACGGTCGTCGATGGGTCACTTTCCCCTGCTGGCGTTCCCGCCTAGCAAGGGCACAGTGACCGACGCTGCCAATGCTCTCTACGACGTCATCGGTGTCAAAGCCGGTGGTGGCGGCAACGACGGCGGAGGCCATGCTGCCGACAATCAAAATGTGCCACGCGGCGGTGGTGGTGGTGGTGGTAATGGCGGCCGAGGGGTGGATGTCTATGCCAGGGTGCCGGACTTGAGCAGTCAGCAACAACTGACCGGCACGCAGTCTATCGGCAGCAACAGCTTTCCAGATCTGCGCTTCAACTCGCACTTGATCACCGGCGGCATAGTCAACGCAAGCTACGAGTTTTACCAGGAACATGATGAGGATGACTTATACGACGAAGACGAGTTTGACGAATATCTCTATAACAATGCCGCTGAGGAGATCCAGAATGGTGAGCAGGACAACGCTAGTCTGGGAAGCCTGGAGAATCCGGGCATGCTGCCCTCCGATCCGGTCTACGCTTCGTCCGACACTCACCAATCCTCGGCGGTGTCGCTGACGGGACAGCGTTCGGTACCGCTGGATTACTGCTTTGCTGATTGCAACCTGAGTGGAATGCACGTGGCGGGCATCACCCCGTCGACCAGCGCACAGTCAGTGGCGTTCTATTCCGTGCTAGAGAAGACCTCCGATACAACCACCAGCGTGCAGACGATGGATGCCGGCAGCTTCCCGGGAGTGCGACGCGATCAGCAGCAGGCGTGGGATGCCAGTAGCTTCCCGGGAGTTCAGCGCGACCGGCAGCAGGCGTGGGATGCCAACAGCTTCCCGGGAGTGTACCGCGATCAGCAGCAGGCGTGGGACGCCAGCAGCTTCCCGAGGGTGCAACGCGACCAGCCGGCACACCCACTGCCGTTCGAGGATATGGACGGGGGTATGAACTCACTGCTGGAGAAGTATTCGTCAACGGACGACCTGAGTACGATGCTCCACCACCCTGACTCCTACGGCAGCAACGTCCGTCCGCTGCGCAGCGCCGACTTGTATGCAAGTGTGGGTAGCACACGGTAGTAATACTGCAATTCGAGTGCCTCGACGCGCCACCCCGATGCCCTAGAAAACCCTAACACATAGTAATACTGCACTCGCGGTGCCTCGATCCGCAACCCCGGTGCCCTAGAAAACTTAACTCGAAGTAATGCTACTCTTCTAATTGTGGGTGCGTTGGTTCGCACCCTGGCCCGCAACGGTGCCCCCGGAGAACTTCTATATGTTTTGATACTTGATGCACACTAGCCTTTGGTGGGTGAAAACCAGAATACGCTCCATGGAGAACTGAAACCTTCCTGAGTGTGCTAGCTGTGCATGACGATATGCCTGGCACACACACACTAGTAATGAAATAATTTCTACCGCCACTGGAGATCTGACTGCATAGACACCCCTAACAACTGTAATCTGAGTGCGTAGACGGAAGCAACGAGAGTAAGAACTATTCCGCTTCGCCCGTTGGACTGGTGTGGAGCACAAGCACTGGCATGACGGCAAAACAGCCGGCCCCCAGCCTCGCTTCCCTTCGCATGCTCGGGCACTGCGACGGTGGCATTTCGGTATGACAGTGAGCGACGGTCAGGGCTTCGCCAACGGCGCGCCCTGAGCTCAGCGGACACCAGTGTGCTGTTGTGTCCTCACGTGTGTAGCAATACACCACCATGACCATGCCCTGCACACAAACAAACACACACGCACAGAAACACACGCACACACACACACAAGCACGGACAGATGTGTATGGTCATAACTTGTGCGTCATTAGCGTCTGAACTTAGGTTTTTTATTCTGTAAACATGCTCTTTGCGAGGATGCTATCCACTCGATTCCAAATTCCAACGTTTTCAGATTTCACATCATCTTACGGCTGGACTAGAAACCATCGACTGGGCTTTTTGAACCGCTTCCATCCTCTTGATATTCTCGACATTATTTTCATTACATCGGATCTTCTGCCCCGCCACCATGCACCCCAGCCCCGGAAGATCGATTCATAGATCGGTCTTTGCACGCCTGCTCCCCCCCCCCCCTCCTCTCCCATGCATCAGGATGGTGTACCCTACGATATACCTTGCCGAAGCACCCTGCCCCTGCGTGCACTCGCCCTGCAGTGTATGTGACAGCGGAAGTGCTTGGGTGATGTGCAGCTAGTTGCCTTCCTCGCACACTCCCACCTTCTCCATCCCGAACACCATCTGAAATTTACCCACACCCGTTCTGAACATCATTCTGAAACATACCCACCCGCAGCCTGTTACACCCTCCATTCTGAAAGATACCCACCCACCCCCATTCTGAACACCATTCTGAAAGATACCCACCCACCCCCATTCTGAACACCATTCTGAAAGATACCCACCCACCTCGATTCTGAAATATACCCCCTCCCCCACAAATCGATCATCCGTAGAGATGGTCGCCATGGCGCCAAAAAGCAGTTACACTAGTTGCGTTCATTTGCCGTTTTTTTTAACTGCTGTGCAAACCTGCATCGTGCCTCCCGGTTTTCTTCATCTCGGCCATTTGCTCGTGCTGACTGTACGTATTGTGTGCTCTTTATGATCATGACATGCTTTGTGAAATTGTCGCTTTTTCCCCGTTGTTGTCCCTGTACATAGCGCATGTGATTAACCCCCGCTGCTTCAATTAGGTGGTGATCTCATCGCGTGTAGCTATGCTCTCCCTGTCTGTTCATTTCTTATTCGTGTGCCTTTCCCAAGAACCCCTTCCCGTTCCTCAACGTATACGCTCTCCTTTCTGTGTGTGTGTGTGTGTGTGTGTGTGTGTGTGTGTGTGTGTGTGTGTGTGTGTGTGTGTGTGTGTGTGTGTGTGTGTGCTTGTGTGTGGGGGGGGGGGCTTTGTATGTTTGTGTGTGTGCGAGAGAAGAGAGAGAGAGAGAGCGAGCAGTGCAGTGCAGTGCAGCTGTGGTCCAATGGAGTCGTCGTCAGCATGGTAGTGGAATACTCCTGCTACAATAAGCACTGCTGTCCACCAACTAGTAAATGTGTTTACCATTTTGTGCTCAACGAAGTAGACGGGTAGCGACTTCGGCGACTATTAGCTTAGAATTCTAAGTTGCTCCCTACCTGGGAGCACTCGCCTTTCACGCTGACTTGACTTGATACTTGAGTAACTCACGACTGGCATACAGAGCACAGCGGCCGGGTGAAATGAGCACTACTGTAAAATTTCTGCTTTTACAGTATATCGAATACAAACTCGAGCGCTTGCTCGAAAATTTGAAACGAGCGAGTACTCGTTTCGCAAAATACAGCTGTACTCAAAACTGAAGTATCCTGGGTACTATACTGAGAACAACAGTGACCCAAAAAAGAAGCTTTCTCGTGACTTCGAGTTCACGAGACTGAAGCTTTTTTTGGTTTCTGTCGTGTCTATTTGCAGCAAGGATCTCAGACACTTTGTGGTCTATTGTATGAATATGTACATGAAGAACTTCCGTTACCATGGCTACTCTGACCGGTACTGACAACCCAGGCCAGTGTACCTCCGGAAAAGAAGCGTTGTGAAAGTCAAGTGCTTTTTTATTGTTGTGAGAAGTGCTTCCCGGCAGGAGTTAGCGTTGTCGTTGAAGAATGAGTTCTCTCCGGCAGTCCTCATCCGTTCCACCAACAAAACGTGTCTTTGGAACGGATGAAAACTGGCAATATGATTCACACCGAAGTAGAGTAAAACCTGTCAAGGCGACCACTTGGATAAGACGACCACCTGTCCTAGAAGACCACTGGCACCGGGACCAAGGGATGCTATTTCCAGTCAACTGACCCTGGATAGGGAGACCACCTGGTCATAGAGACCACGCTTCGAAGGTCCCATGAGCGGTCGTCTTAGACAGGTTTCCACTGTCGTGTTACTTGTCCCCACTTGCAAACATACAGATAAGGCACTTAAAGACAGTAGTTCAGACTAGTTACCGTACTTGTAGGCTGCAGGCAAGACTAACGGTACGTCGTGTGTATCGGGTGTTCGTCGTTCGGTGTTGCGAGAATGTGTCCAGTGCGTTGCGAGAGTGTGCGCAGTGCGTTGCTTTCTCGTACCCGCTTAGCTTCAAAGAGTACTCGAGTCGTTGAACCCGGCACACGTTCACCCCTAATCCCTAGAGATATTTTGGCTCAGAGATCACTACATGATGCAATGCTCTCGGAGCGCCATGCCAAGCTCAACGGATCAAAGGGGAATTCCCCGAAACACTGTGCATTGAGCAGGGACTACTGATGCCCACTAGCACCAGGACTTGCCCAGCACATGTACATGTACATGTATCACAGTTGAGCCCACCTTTCTAAACACGGATGATCCGGCAAGGACTGTTTCTCTCTTGATCAGAATTTCATCCGAGCAGAAACTTGTCCTATCCTAACATGTATACAGCTGGTATCCGGTTCTGCATTTTCTTCTGTGTCATCCCGGATTTCCTCTAATTCGGCGTACCCCAGTTTTTCTACGAAGTTACTGTCATCCAAGATTACCAGTGCCTGATTCGTGTTCACTTTAGGCAGGTTCCACTGCAGGTTCTTAGGTCGTAGTGAGCAAGATTGTGTCGGGGCTAATAAGGTTTACGGGGTTTGAAGAAAATACTATAACAGTGCCGACAAGATAAAGTCAGACTGCGCGAGCATGAGCACGAGCAGTTTTTGTTTGTTTTCTTTTTTTTCTTTTGATTTATTATTGCCGTACTCACTCGACTTTAAGCCCCTCTCGAATAAAAGCCCCCCCCCCCCCTCTCTACAATGACTGTTTGAATAAATACAAGCCCCTCTCGAATAGAAGCCCGGACTACTATTCGCAAAGCATGGGGGTGACCAGATAGTGTCATGTATGTTACGATCAAGTGCGCAACAAGTGCCAACAACATCTCGTGCATGCACATATTGGCACATGTCTTGGTCGACGTACTGTGTGCAAACTAACTCGGGGCCGAGTTGCTGTGAATATGAAAGTTTTAGAGATTCGATTGTAATTCTGGTATGGAATGAAACAATAAAAGCCCCTCTCGAATAGAAGCCCCTCTTGAATAGAAGCCTCGTCAAAATTGGTATTGAAAAATAGAAGCCCCCGGCTTCTAATCGAGTGAGTGCGGTAGTTCATTGCCTCAATAGTACAATGTACAACTTCAAAGTCAACTCCCTTAGTTCTGAAGTACACATGTACATGTACACGTCAAAATTGAAATCACGGGTTGTCTTCTCAATAGGCCTTTGCGGATAATGCCGGCAGAAAAATTGGCAGAATTCGGTACTTTTTCTGGTAAGTTTCATGCATGTTTGGTATGTGGATAAAGAAATGGAGCAGAATTCGAGGAATTGCCCGCCATAAGGTTTGTTTGGTTCTGCCAGTTTCACTGCTTTTCGAGCAGAATCTGCCACCTTTTCGAGCAGAATCCGCCAATGCCTACTTCTCGAAACACATGTTTAGCCCCGAAGACATGATGACCTTGCTTGAAACGGTGATCATGTTATAATGTACACATACGATGGCGCTGCAACAAACTTGTGCAGCGATTCTAGTGTGGCAAATAAATTGACATAATAACTCTTGTTGTCTTACCTCAATACAGTAAACCTGTCAATGCGACCACTCGGATAAGGCGACCACCTGTCCTAGAAGACCACTGAAACAAGGACCAAGGAAGGGATGCTATTACCAGTCAAATGACCCTGGATGCGGAGACCACCTGGTAACAAAGACCATGATTGTTTTGAAGGTCCCTTGAGCGGTCGTCTTAGACAAGTTTCACTGTACTTGTCAAAATTAATGATTACGGTAGATCCAGTTCAACTCTTGTTGCCACTCACACTCACACTCACACTCAGCCTTCACTGGCTTCAGAGCTTCTGCAAGTAGATCTACACGACGTCGTGTAGTTCTGGTGTTCGTCGATCGCTCGACGTGACATCGAATCTGTCACATCAATCATCATGAACTATGCCACGCATTCCGGATTAGCGAGCGGTCGGAATAACCGAGCGAGGCGTCATGAGACCCGCTGCGATCGATGCTGACAATCTGAGTGCACCAAACAATCAGCTCCTACTCGGAGTACTACTACTCCTACTCCTACTCCTACAACCTACAACCTACATCCCCGTTCCGACTTCGAACTGATTGATTGTTTCCGGAGAAGCTGCTAATCGCTTCCAACACGGTTCCTGCGCGGCTTGCAGGTTCTCCACAGCGAGAAAAGGCCACGCAGCGCGCCGAGCTGTTTCTCTCCGCACAGCGAAGACTTTTGTGACAATGAGGCAGTCGAGGCTTTTTTGTTGCTGTTCGGTTTGAGAGAGAGAGAGCTAGAGAGAGAGAGTTGAAAAAGTCATTGAAGAATTTTGTTGTTGTTCAGTTTTAGCGCAAAATTTGAAAATTATTCTCATTTTCCGCATAGCACCGCATTTGAAATATTTTGTGAGGTTTGACAGAGGTGCTCTCTACGACCATGTCACCCCTCCTAGTCCTTGCCTCTATGGCCTATATGGTCGCTATCCTCAGCTCGAGCGGTAGCGCCGCTCGGAAACCGAACACTAAATGGACCGGCGAAGCGGAGCTGGGTAGCGCACTTAGCGGCGGGGATCAGTCCGTGGCAATAGTGTTGTATTGCAAAACGAAAAATCAAGGTGAGTGAAGAATTTTTTTCAGACAACTTTGGAAGTGATCCATTCACACTGTGCAATCATGCAAACTAGCGAGTGACTACATATTGCGCTTTGCTCGGTCGCCGATGCGAAATGGAACATGATGCTAAAAAAGCATCTACAATCGTAAACTGTCTACATGTAATTTTTCTATTCTGTTGGTTGTGTTTCTCAACGCAATTGTAACGCGGACGTGCAAACTTTACTTTACTTTTTATTGCCTTATTGGAGGATACACCTCTTGGTAATCACTGAAAATAATTAAATTATGTTCAGTGATTACCAATTCAGAACTGTAATACCCCATTGCACAATGATGACTATCTGGCTGCTTGCAGGCTGGAATCACTGGAGCGTTCAGTTCACGAACCCCGCATGTTATGGCTCAGACCCCACTGAAAGTCTGAGTAGCACCTTCTAACTTCTGGTTGTGTGTGGGTGTGGTTGTGCATGTGTGTCTGTGTGTGTGTGTGGGGGGGGATAGTTACGATGCCAACACTCTCCTCGTTCCCCCCCCCCCCCCCCCCCACCTCGGAGTCCTTCGCGAGGCTTTGCAAGCCCACGAGTGGAGCAAACTACCGCACGAAGACGACGACTCGGAACGACTCTGAGCGTTGGCTCATGAAATGTTCGCTCTGTTGTGGAGAGTGAAGGACCAGTTCAAGTGGCAGCCATGGGAGGAATCGTTTCCGATGATAAGCCAGCTCCATAGCTGCCGGAGATGGCTCTCTCGAACATGGTCCCTGAGTTCCTGACCTAGTAGATCTACCTCTCCTCGTCTTTCCATATTGTCGGCCCCGCAAGGGGACCCGTGACCGAAATTGCAGTGTTTTCCAGGACCAGGTGTGGGGGGGGGGGGGGCTTTATGCCCAACATGTGTGTGGGTGTTGCGTGGGTGTTGTTATTATTGTTGTGTGTGTGTGTGCGTGTGTGTGTGTGTGTGTGTGTGTGTGTGTGTGCATGCTTGCTTCTGATGACCGCCAGCTAATCGTCCAGACAATCGTCTAATTTCAGTCGCCGATGGAGCTACTTCTCGACTCCAAGACTACCCAATCAAGATATACCGAGTAAGCCATTATAGTCGCACACATGTCCTGCCTGTACAAATGCTACACTGCCTGTATCATCCCTCACACCATTTGAATTATACACCACTACCCAAAACGGTCTCTGCTACAATTCTTCTCAATACCGTTATGTCGCGTATTAAAGCCAGACATATTCATGTGGAAGCCGATGTAAGGGCTAGGCTTCTATTCAAACCAGGTATTTCTATGTGTGTCAACACTAAAACCAGGCTTATGTGCCGACAGTGTATCTTGAAAATCAGGCTTGTATTCGAAACAGGCTTCTAACGTTATTCAAGATAAGCTTTAATACAAGACACTACAGTGCAATAATTATGTAATTTTGAAGCTGTCCACCTCGCCACACTGCGCTCTTGGCCCACATTCACCACACCGTAGCGAGGAAGTTCCAAATAGCTGTCTGGAGGATACAGAATATCTGTCCAAGAGCGAACTTCCTCACTATGGTGTGGTGAATGTGGGCCAAGAGAGCAGTGTGGCGAGGTGGACAGTTTCAAATTATTTTACAGTGGCCGAGTCCGTCGCAGCTTCTCATTTACGATATTAATAGTTGTATCCAAATTGTCAATGAAACGGTCCAGAACAAAACTACAAGTTACGCTATAATGTCCACTAACACCACCAGTTACTAAACAATCAGCTCATGCGATAACATTGCACAGTTAGTTGTAGAACGTCAGTACCGTCGGTCAGTGTCGTGCAATGTTATCGCATGAGCTGATTGTTCAGTAACTGGTGGTGTCAGTGGACACTATAGCATAACTTGTAGTTCCTTTGTCCTTTTTTTTCTATACACAAAACCTATGGTTATTTTACACCAACGCATATGGCCGATTGGTTTGCCGGCCTGCCTGCGAATCATGAGGTCCCGAGTTCAAGACCCGCGCTGGTAGCAGGGAGCGTGTAAAAAGACTTTTTACGCGTGTTGAACTGCGCCGACACCCACGGTCAACTGGGTACTCACAGCTCGGAGTGAGAATAACAAGGATGCAGTTTACAGGGTTATGGGCCGTTACACGCCCGATTGGTTGAGAGACTAACCTCCTCTCCCCTGACTCACTTGTGAGGTCTGCATTCGCCACTAAGGTTAACAGGCATAGTGGTGGCCTGCGGATGCGAAGGCTAGTTTGTGTGTTTCTGAACATTCAAGCGATGCCGACGCGGATCCCGCGAATATTATTATTATTATTTTACATGGAGAAGGGCCTCTTTTACGGGCAATCCAGAGAAAACTGAAGGGATATTCATTAATCACTATGTCAATAGAGGGTGGTGGCGTTCCTACGGATGCGGAAAACTCGGCTTCTAGCCGAATCTCACGCGAACCGTGAATTTTTTTAAAGTTTTTTTGTCAATAAGTCGGGAAACCGCTGAATTGAGTTAAATTAAAAAAATGTTATTGTACCTGAAAAATATTGGAGGATTGTTGATGTTTTACCAAAAAGATATTGTCCAATGTAAGATATTAATCCCACATTATTTGTTTAGACATGTTTATGTGGTCACTAAGCACGGGTCTCAATGCACGAGAGAGCGTATGTACTCGTATAGCAAGTATTAGCAACAGTACTTCTTTCACGGGCGTGGAGCTTTATCGGAGTGTTCTCTCTCTCTCTCTCTCTCTCTCTCTCTCTCTCTCTCTCTCTCTCTCTCTCTCTCTCTCTCTCTCTCTTTCTATCTATCTATCGGTCTATCTCTCACTCTCTTTCACACTCTCACTCTCTCTCTCTCTCTCTCTCTCTCTCTCTCCCTCTCTCTCTCTCTCTTTCTCTCTCTCTCTCTCTCTCTCTCTCTCTCTCTCTCTCTCTCTCTCTCTCTCTCTCTCTCTCTCTCTCTCTCTCCCTCTCTCCCTCCCTCCCTCCCTCTCTCTCTCTCTCTCTCTCTCTCTCTCTCTCTCTCTCTCTCTCTCTCTCTCTCTCTCTCTCTCTCTCTCTCTCTCTTTCTATCTATCTACTCGGTCTATCTCTCACTCTCTTTCACACTCTCACTCTCTCTCTCTCTCTCTCTCTCTCTCCCTCTCTCTCTCTCTCTTTCTCTCTCTCTCTCTCTCTCTCTCTCTCTCTCTCTCTCTCTCTCTCTCTCTCCCTCTCTCCCTCCCTCCCTCCCTCCCTCTCTCTCTCTCTCTCTCTCTCTCTCTCTCTCTCTCTCTCTCTCTCTCTCTCTCTGTCTCTCTCTCTCTCTCTCTCTCTCTCTCTCTCTCTCTCTCTCTCTCTCTCTCTCTCTCTCTCTCTCTCTCTCTCTCTCTCTCTCTCTCTCTCTCTTCTCTCTCTCTCTCTCTCTCTCTCTCTCTCTCTCTCTCTCTCTCTCTCTCTCTCTCTCTCTCTTTCTCTCTCTCTCTCTCTCTCTCTCTCTCTCTCTCTCTCTCCTCTCTCTCTCTCTCTCTCTCCTCTCTCTCTCTCTCTCTCTCTCTCTCTCTCTCTCTCTCTCTCTCTCTCTCTCTCTCTCTCTGTCTCTCTCGTCTCTCTCTCTCTCTGTCTCTCTCTCTCTCTCTGTCTCTCTCTCTCTCTCTCTCTCTCTCTCTCTCTCTCTCTCTCTCTCTCTCTCTCTCTCTCTCTCTCTCTCTCTCTCTCTCTCTCTCTCTCTCTCCTCACCCCCCCCCCCCTCTCTCTCTCATCCCCCTTCTTCACAGGTCGATTGCTCACAGTCCACCCTAGATTACTGCAAGGCAAGTGACGAAGCGTTCCCTCGACTCATCCTACACAGGTATGAGCGACACTTATCGATAACATTTCTAATGCCTGTGACTTACTGTCTGCATAGTCCTGCATGCCAAAGAGTGCGCAGGGTAAACCAATCCAGCCTGACCCGATCTAGTCCTCTACCATTGCAGTATGTACAACAACAAAGGTCCCGCGTTTGGGAGAAACTAGGCTTAGCCATTCTGTAGCATCCCTTTCTTTGGCATGGAAGATCGAGAGGTGAAGGCGAATGGCCAGATTGGGTACAGACAACCACTTGAATCACCACCTGGGGTATAACAACAACTCGCAAATAACGACACAATCTTCAAACCTACTCACTATTCGATTGCATACTTTCAACCTCGTGAATATCAACAACTCGCAAATACTGTAGAACGAGTAATTTTAGCAACGTAAAAACCCTAGCGAATTTAGCGATCGACTCATTTTCGCTAAAGTTTCAAGTCGCTAATCCGTTGAGACATTAGTAGTGCACTGGTGACCCGCGAGTAAAATCGCTGCAGATCGCTAAAACAAAACGTCGCTAACCAGTTGACAATGGGAAAACGCTAAAATTACCCGTTCTACAGTAACGACACAATCTTCAGGCGTACTCACCATTCGATTGCGTACTTTCAACCTCGCGAATATCAACAACTCACAAATAACGGCATGACCGAGGGCGCTATTCACAAGGTCGACGGTAGCGGAGCATAGGTATGTACTTGCTATGCCGGAAAAGTTGTTGGAGTAAGTACAGCTGTCGCAGCCACGCCACAACCGGCTGTGCAAATGTGCTTAGAAGCACAGTCGGCTTATTAAGTTTCGCTCGTGCCATGCCTACGCCACACATGATTTTGGCTACAGTAGACTCGTACGCCCAAGAACGTCCAGGCTGGAAATCTAAGAACGCCCCAGCCTGGATTTAAGTACGAACTCCAAGATTTTTAAGAACGCGGCATTTTTCCTTCATGATCTTGTCCGAGTACACGAAAAACAAGTCCGCAACCACGGCCACAAACTCTTGTCGGGTCGTCGCGAAAACATCACCCAGTGCAGCGCTACATACTACACGTGCATGTAAAGTGTACAACCGGTACATGTAGCGCAAAGTGCATTGTACATGAGCGTCACGGGTCATGTTGGACGCGTAAGAACGCGAAATAAGAACGTAGCCTGGGGCGCTGAAAAATAAGAACTTTGCTAGGCTGGCCCTCTGAAACCGCGTTCTTGGGCGTATGAGTCTACTGTAGGTGGCAAATGTGTGTGGGAGATCTTACAACCAATTGGCCAGCAAAGCGCAAAACCTCATTCGCTGCACCATGTTAGGTAACATCTTCTCATGAACTCACGTGCACGTCAAGCTTGATGGACAGTGAAACCTGTCTAAAACGACCGCTCAAAGGACCTTGAAAACGTGGTCTCTGTAACCAGGTGGCCTCCTTATCCAGGCTCATTTGACTGAGAATAATATCCCTTGATCATGGTTGTAGTGGTCCTCTAGGACAGGTGGTCGCCTTATCCGAGTGGTCACCTTGACAGGTTTTACTGTATTTGAAAATGACGATGTTTCATTCACTGTAATTATGCTGGGCTGCCGCTGTGGCTCGGTGTTTTGATTCATCATTTGTTCACTTCAACACATGTGTGCGTATATTACACACTAGATTGAAGACTAATCTGTCTCCGTTCTTTGTTTCATTTTTTGTGTTTGTGCATTCTTCTCCCTGTGCTGTGTATATTGCTGGCCGCATATGATACAGGCGCAAAGGAGAGAATGTTGAGTTGTCGTACGCGGAGACAAGACAAGTGGACGGGCTGATTTCCCGGGCACTGCAGTAAGTACATTTACAGACTGTTTTGCCTCAGACTCTGGGAGTAAGGACGGTCCAGGTTCTGACTCTGTACATGTAGCCTCGTTTTTTTTGCCTCAGTACATTTTGGCTCAACGGATCGTAGCAGTCCCACTATTGGTCAGTGTTAGAATGGTTGTCTGGCAACCACACAGTAGCTCAGTGACAGAGCAGTGCTTTGGCGAGCACACCATAACTATCTCGGTTGTATAACAGTGCAAAAGCAACCACATCATAGCTCGGTGTATGCAGCAGTGCTCCAGGAGCCACACCATAGCTCAATGGCAGAGCAGTGCTTTGGCGATCACACCACAGCTCAGTGATATCACGGTTCATGTTGCTCAGTGTTCAGGGGCGCCAGAAGGTATTTTAGGTTGGTACGGTCAACCACCTGAAGTACAATTTGCTAGTGGGGTTGGGGTGGTTCCTCTGAAATGTTTCCAAGTTTAGACCCCAAATCAGCACACATTTATAGATTCACAGGGTACCTGGGGCGAATAGTGGAACGGTCAATACCATGCTGACCGTAGCGTGTCCGACACCCCTGGTGTCACAACGTCCCTAGTTCAAGACCCTGCGGTGTGATTTTCACGTCTAGGCTTGGTGTTGCTCGGTGTCGAGGGAACCATGGATGCAGCGAATGGGATTTTCGGTCTTTGACCACTTTGCTGTTGGGTCTGGTCTACGCACCTCCCACCGCTTTAATAGGAGCTGCATTTGCACCTTGATCCTAGTGGGCGGTGGCGTTCCTACGGATACGGAAAACTCGGTCTTTAGTCGAGTCTGATGCGAACCGTGAAGTTTTATTTTTATTTATTTATTTTTGGTGTTGCTTTCTTGTGCTGTCTTCTGCCCCAGTTATGTCCTCCTGGATATGCCCGCCCCCACAGAGAACACATATGATCAGTCATCAGATGTTAGTTATCCTAATCCCATTCGTGTACTGGAGACGTCCGAGGAATACACCGAGCTGGCAAAGGAGTCAAAGCAAACGGCCGTCTTCTTCATCCAAACGCCATTTTCAAAAGGTCTGTGTGTGGGGGGAGGGTGTGCGTGTGTCTGTGTGTCTGTCTGTCTGTGTGTGTTTGTGCGCACGTGTGTGTTTGTGCGCTTGTGCGCATGTGTGTGTGTCGGCATCCACCTCTACTGCTGTCCATCGATGGAAAACCGGCACCCTAGCGTCTCGGTGTCTTCCATGTAAAGCTGTAGACATTGTGTGAGCCATGCAACGATTCTTTCTCATCGGAGGGCGAAAGCTCTGGAAAGTCCCGCACATCATGATGTATATCTGAGGACTTGAAAGAATCCGAGGGTTGAGAACCCCCGGATTCTTTCAACCTGGTGCAGGATATCCCATGTACAGTATTTTGCCAGTTATACATCGACCCAATACTTAGGATAGCTATGAATTAAACGAAACCCGCGCTCATGTCACAAACCAAGTAGCAATGTTTTTGTTGCAGAGCGCTTTCTTGTCACATTCTTCAATGGAATCCCATTGCTACTTTGTAGCGCGTGACATGAGTGCGGGTTTTATTTTATTCGCAGCAATGTTTCAGTTATCTCCAAGTCGACTATTCCAACACGTAGGGTCTTGATTTACCCGTTGAATATCAATATGATCAATAGCGACTACACCCTGGCTGTAAGTCAACTGCCCTTACAAAAAAAACTTATAAACTGAACAGTACGCTATCCCGGTATTAAGACAGTTAGTCGTGACTTGGACGTCTGTCTCGCTGTTATTCCTGCAGAGCACACCATGGCGTTGGAAATGGCCTACCATCATGGTTACCTACTGCACTTTGCCTTCACACATAACTGCTTCCACATACACCACTACAGAGATCAATGGTAAGAATCAGAAACGCTCCCATACTATAGTAATTATGATAAGTGTAACTTTGCATGTATGTGTGTGTGTGTGTATGTGTGTGTGTATGTGTGTGTATGTGTGTGTGTGTGTGTGTGTGTGTATGTGTGTATGTGTATGTGCCCATAAGTGGGATCATTTCAAGTCCACCCTAGTTTGGGGATTTCAGGGGGTGTCAGCCGCTGGGTGGTTCAATGGCCAATTGAGTCATCTTTCCAAGATTCCTTTTGAGTCTCTCTCCCCTCTCCCGGGGAGACCCACGTGACCAGTTTTGGCAGTGAGCAAGTACAAGTACAAGTACAAGTGTATGTGTATGTGTGTGTGTGTGTATGTGTGTGTGTATGTTTTTTTTAAAGTATACATACCTGTTGACCCAAGGACTACTTCTGGCTAGGGTAACTATTGTGTACTCAATCATGAATGGTGCTAGTGAAGCCGTTATCAGATCCACTCTGATTTAGCCACCCACAATAGCAGCGAGAAGTACCTTCGCTGGGGGCAGGCGTGAATGCAGTTGGATGCCGGGATGGATACCTTGGTGCCATCAATCCCTTATCTGCACCTTGTCCTCGCCCACTTACTGACGTGTGGTGAGCCCATAAGATGGATTGTTTCCCAGTCTACCCTAGTTTGGGGATTTCAGGGGATGCCGGCCGTTGAGCGGTTTAATAGCCAATCGAGTCATCTTTCCAAGACTCCTTTTGGATCCCCCCTCTTCAGGGTAGACTCACGTAACCAGTCATGGCAGCGAGCAAGTACAAGTACAGTATGTGTGTGTATGTGTGTGTGTGTGTGTGTATGTGTGTATGTGTATGTGTGTGTGTGTGTATGTGTGTGTGTATGTTTTTTTTAAAGTATACATACCTGTTGACCCAAGGACTACTTCTGGCTAGGGTAACTATTGTGTACTCAATCATGAATGGTGCTAGTGAAGCCGTTATCAGATCCACTCTGATTTAGCCACCCACAATAGCAGCGAGAAGTACCTTCGCTGGGGGCAGGCGTGAATGCAGTTGGATGCCGGGATGGATACCTTGGTGCCATCAATCCCTTATCTGCACCTTGTCCTCGCCCACTTACTGACGTGTGGTGAGCCCATAAGATGGATTGTTTCCCAGTCTACCCTAGTTTGGGGATTTCAGGGGATGCCGGCCGTTGAGCGGTTTAATAGCCAATCGAGTCATCTTTCCAAGACTCCTTTTGGATCCCCCCTCTTCAGGGTAGACTCACGTAACCAGTCATGGCAGCGAGCAAGTACAAGTACAGTGTGTGTGTGTTTGTGTGTGTTTGTGTGTGTGTGTGTCTGTGTGTGCGTGTGTGTGTGCACGCGTGTGTGCATGTGTATCTCTTACTCCACAGTCCACAAGCCGAGACCATGCTAGTCATACTGCACTACTACCCAGAGATAATGCAGCACGGTGCCGACATGTTTCTCAAGGACTTCGATGTCAACAGTCTACAGACATTCCTGTTTGTTCATTCGCTACCTCCACTGGTACGTATGTTCACGTGCATTGCATGCCGTAACGATAATGAGAATAGCAAGGTCTTGCTCTTCTGAGGTTTGGCCTCAATTTCGTGTATCTTACCGTTCAACACCAGATTTTATTCAGAATGGCAAAGACTTTCAGAACTGTGAAAAGAAGAAGGACTAAATGTTACGAGTTATGACTAACTGTCCACCAACGTAACCAGATATTACACAGTCAGCGAGTGCGACAAAATGGCACAAAACTGACATTTAGTCCTTCTTCTTTTCACAATAATTATTATTTAATTGGCTCACCATCCGAGTTACACTTTCAGAACTGATCAAGAAACACTAGAAATGTACAAGTACCACCTGTGCAATCCACTATTTTGATCAAGGGACTCGTATAATTATATCAATTGAACATGTGCATTATGTCCAGTGGGCAGAGCCAGTAGTACAATGATCAAGCAGCAATGAAACACTCATCGGACAGCATAACTCCGAGTAACGGCGGAAAAAGACTTGTTTGCTTCATTGCTGTATGAACATGTGCATTATGTGCCGAATATACTTCATCGAAAACTGATACGGTACATGGTAGATGAGCTGTCCGGAGCTACGGTGCAAATCTGAGTTTCGAGCAGTACCCGGTCCCAAGGCGCCCGGATAAGAGACATTTGAGTGTATTTCACTTGTCTATGACCCCGGAAGATACTATTCCATTCAGTTATAACCCTGGAAGATGCTATTCCCTTTGTCTATGGCTCCTACAAATACTGTCTATCACTCAAATGGAATGTGGGCTCTGATCGTGAGCTAAGCCGCCACCCGTGCTACTTTCAAACTGGGGTAATATGTGCGTTCCGTTTCGTTTAACGTGAATGCTGAAGGGGGGGGGGCTGTGGCAGGCAGCTGGAGATTGTTGCCATAGTGACGCTTGGGATACTTTGAATGACACTGATCGAGAGGTGGAGTGTGAGACGAAAACACCTCTGCTCAATAGGCTCAATGCGCATTGCCAAATGTGTAAGGTATGAGTGATGCATGTGAGTACGCTGGGATCAGCAATGCACTGTTCAACACCCCTCACGACCATGCCCAGGTGGCTGTATGTGGGGTGTTATGTGAGTGCGCTGGGATCAGCAATGCACTGTTCAACACCCCAGACGACCATGCCCAGGTGGCTGTGTGGGGTGTTTACGGCACAAATCACGTCTTAGCACACTGGGCTTATTCCGTATTCATTACAGATCATATCACAGTCGGTACTGGATATAGTTCCAAGCCTGGAGCAGTCCAACCTGGAAGACTTGCAGATCACGTACATTGTGGCACCTATGGACATGTTCTTGGAACATCAGACCGACTTCACCGCAGCGGCAGTTACGTACCGTGGCCTCTTTGCAGTCTGCCATATTGACCCGTAAGTCCATGGAGCTTGACGTGTGCATGTGTGTATGATTGTGTGCATGTGATCATGTGTGTGCATGTGTGTGTGTGCATGTGATCATGTGTGCGTGTGTATGCGTGCATGTTTATGAGTGTGTGTGCATGTTCGTGTGTGTGCACGTACGCCCGGGCGCACGTTTGTGTGTGCGATCACCGCTTCAAAAAATGTGTTGGTGGTACAAGTGTTATAGTGTGTCAGCGATTGATATATTTGTTCCGCGTTACACTTAAAGCACAATGATTGTGTAGAAGGATCATGCTGATTGGATGTTGCTATGGTGATGTGAAGATTTAATGTTCTGCTACCTATGCTGACTCTGCTGTGTGTGGTGCTGTCATCATCACCATCATCACTGATGTTGCTACTGCTACTGCTGCTACTGCTGCTGCTGCTACTGCTGCTGCTGTTGCTGCTGCTGCTGCTGCTGCTGCTGCTGCTGCTGCTGCTGCTGCTGCTGCTGCTGCTGCTGCTGCTGCTGCTGCTGCTGCTGCTGCTGCTGCTGCTGCTGCTGCTGCTGCTGCTGCTGCTGCTGATGGTGGTGGTGGTGGTGGTGGTTCTGCTTCTACTGCTGGTGGTGCTGCTGCTTCTGCTGCCGCTGCATTTCATCCAGGTCCGATAAGAAGCTGGTGGCCCGCATTCCCGAAGTGAAGAACTATTTGGCGGAGAACAGCGCACCGGTGCTCATCACGCGGCGTAGTGGAGAGGTATGTCGTCAGGTTAACACAACCGGGACGCTGACACCTCGGTGCTATCCGGACCCCGAAGTTACGGGCACTTCGGTCTACCGGGCACCCTTTAGGCGAGTTTCAGTGGAAATATTACTACTCTAGTGTCACTTTTTGTGGACATATTACTACTCTAGCCTGCGTTCGTTTTTAGCTACCTGGTAGAGTAGAGTAGAGTCACTCTACCGATAGAGGTAGATGGTAGAGGCAAGTGTACGAACGCTGTTCTACCGGATCTAGTAGTTTACACGATGTGTACGTGAAATGTTTCTTTTTTTTATGGAGTTGTGTACAAATCCTTGATCTTGCTGGAAATCCCGTAGCTCTACCAACTTCTACCGGATTCTACCAACTTTTTCCCGGTAGAGCCGGTAGAGGAAAGTAGAATCTACCCTTTTGAGTAGAATTTTTTTTCAAAAACCGAACACCTCTACCGAAAGAAGTAGTTTCTACCCAAACCTGTAGATCAAAAACGAACGCCCCCCTAGTGTCACCAAGAGTACATAACCCCCCAGAGTGTGCAACTCCACTATGGGTGCTGTCCCGACAGAATTTCAAGTTGACGTCATTTTGATGATGCAATGGGCACTGTACACGGATTATCAGACGAATCCGGAACCTGTGTTTGACCGAAGCCGATCGATCCTGTACAAATTATTGCAAAGAAAAACGTGTGATGCGTTGACACCCGTACACATGTTGTAAATCACTGCTGCAAGGAGCATTGCGTCATAAATAATGACGTCAACTTGAAATTCTGTCGGGACAACAGGGTATGTGGGAGTTGCACACTCTGGGGGGTTATGTACTCTTGGTGTCACTTTTTGTGGAAATAGTGACATCATAATGCCATTTTCTATTGTCTTTCCCCATCAACGGAAGCGGAAAGGTGGTTCTCGACCAGGGAGTTGTACGACTCCTTGTTCTTGACCTGCCCGGTACGCGAACCCGTCGAATTTTTTTCCCCATCAAAATGTATGTGATTTGGAGTTACGGATGTTTCAAAGCTACTGCTGCCTGTACACACTGTCACATTGAACCTTGGAAAACGAAATTTCCGCCGCAACCATTCAGGGCAAAAACGCCCAGGCCGAAAATAACGGAAAATATGTATGCGCCAAAAAGGTTTTTACTTACAGTATGTTGAAGTGATCCTGTTTGTTTGGATGCTGTGTGGTGTGTTGTCTTTCTGGCCAGCACCGTAAGCAAGTTAGCGGCACTACAACCTACCAGGAACCACTCTACAATCATAGCACGTTGGAGGATCACTTACGTCATCTCATCGAACAGCTCTCGCATACAGGTGTGGGCTCTGCGTGTCTGCTCATGCCCGTGTGTGTGTGTGTGTGTGTGTGTGTGTGTGCGATTGTGTGTGTGTGTGTGTGTGTGTGTGTGTGTGTGTGTGTGTGTGTGTGTGTGTGTGTGTGTGTGTGTGTGTGCGATTGCGAGTGTGCATGTGTGTATGTATATATGTGGCCCCGTGTGTGCGTGTGTGTGCGTTTGCGCACCCATGTGTATGATCGCGTTTTCCTAGATGCCGCCAGTTCAAGAGCATGCAATGCAATTGCTGAATAATGATTTTATACTTCTTGGGTGCATCTGAAAAACAAATTTCTTGCAGACATCAACCAGCTTCATGTACATGCACACAAGTCCCACACAAGTCCCACACAAGCCTCACACAAGCCTCACAGACAGGTACTGTGTATTCTCCCGAATGCCATGAACGCTGAATGTGTTTGAAGTTGCTGCTGCTTTGCTATTGTTTTGCAGACGAACAACGGCCCAGCCTGGATCAAGTACAGTCAGTGAGCGCCGAGGACTGGGATAGCTTTCTGTTCAACACTCGCTACACAGAGCAGCATGTCTTTACTATACAGTGCGATGGTGAGGAGGCAGGCTGCAATCAGCCGTGTGACGGTTTTCTCCTTTCTCTCTCGCTATTCTATTGTACCTTCTTGCCATTAGTCACTGCTGCGTGGGGCTTTGAATCAATCATGGAGATCAGCCGTGTGGTGTAGACCAGGCTAAAATTAGCGGCGGTCAATTCGTCAGCCTTGCAAGCTGTTGAACGGTGTAATCCCTGCCAGTTGTTGTTGTGTCTAGCATAGCGTGTTCGTTATCATCGCTTCCGCGATGCCGGGCATGTGTAAGGTGTAAGTAGTCAGGCAGAGGCACAGGGAGGGTGGGGGAGGGGAATTGCAGTTGGTAGTGTAGCCGCTAGCGCGGTAGGAGAATGGGAGAGAGAGAGAGTGAGTCACTTGGTAAGAGGGTGAGTGAGAGTGCTAAGGCGAGTGCTGAGGAAAGGGGAGGGGGGGGGGGGGACGAGTTGGTCGGGGAGTACAAAAATGACTTAAATGAGTCACGGCAAGCAGTGAGGGAGGGTGCGAGTGATTCTGGGAATGAAAGACTGAGTCAAAGTACTGTAAGGCAACACATATTCGGCGCATATTTGTTTTCGGCTATTTTCGACCTGGGTATTTGTTCTGGCCAAAATTTTATTTTGCAAGGTTTAGTGTGACAGTGTATACAGGCAACTTCAGTACAGGCTGAAGTGATGACAGGAATGAATGTGCGATGGCAAGCGGTGGAGGAGGGAGGGACCGAGAGAGTCGGGGAGGTCCAGAGTGGGCATACGTGGGTGGGTGGATGGCTGGGGTGGAACCTGGAAATGCTCAAGCAAGCAATGAATGAGTTGGTCTCATTTACTGTGTCTGTAGTTGACTAGTTCGCCATGACTGTACTCGTCTTGTAGCTGCGAGGTAGGTAGCTAGCTCCACTTCACCCTGGCAGCAAACTGCTTGTTGGGTTGACGGGCCGTTAGCCTTACTTAGCCCAGTGACTACTTAAAATCGTTGCAACTGCAGATCATTGGCATTCATTGCCTCCTGTATCTGGCTGGTAATCAGTAGATCACGTACTACATACCGCTAATATTATTGTATTTAGCTGACGTTTGGTTGGGCGTTGGGCATGCCTACTGCGCTGACGCCTTCTTGTTTCCGGTCACTCTGTCACTGCGCCCAGATACCTGCAATACAAACATCTTCGGCATCTTCTTTCAAATGCACCGCTCCATGGTACTGGATCCGGAGGGTGAGAAGAAGGCGACGCTGGTGTTCCTGGACCGACCGTCCAGGTTCTATCCGGTCTTCCGACATCATCATCATCGCCAGCAACGGCCGGATACCTACTCCGGAGAGTGGACGTTCGACGCACTCATGGACTTTGTGGACGAGTACACCGGGTACGTACATGTAGTATCATTGATTTTGATGCAGCGTTCCTCCTTTATTCCCAATCGAACATGGTTGAGCAAGCGGTCACGTGCTCCTGCGTACACCAGTCACCTGGTCATCTCGCCAGCAGGGTACAACTTACTAGCCTGTTTGACCTTTTTTGGGTGCAGTCCTGTCACTCGAGTTGAACTCGAGTTGAACCTTGGTGTGAAAGTTGTCGCCTGCTGGCGTGGTGACCATGTGATTTGGGCACCCAGGAGCACGTGACCACTTATTCAACCATGTTCGATTGGGAATAAAGGAGGAACGCTGTATCGCAGCCTTTTCGGACCAAAACCAGTCGACTCAGCGTCCAAAAGACTACAAAATATGGGCCAATCGCGGTCATCCGTGCTTTTATAAGAACGAAATGGCGCTTTTAGTGACATTTTGCATACAAATCCCCATCTAGTAGGGCGCAGTCACCCAGTTTCGGTGGAAGTGCGCAAGTTCGATTGGGATTCAAGTAGGAAGGGAGCGTCTCAGCTTTCTCGGACCAAGACCATTCGACTCAGCACCCCGAAGACTACAACTGGTGAAATTTTAATTTTTGCCTTAACTTCCCCTTTAAGTACTGTGACCTGCCGTTGTAAGGTTCTTTGCAACCAGGCTTCACATGCCTTCTATAAAAAAGAACAATGGGCCTATGTGTCCTGTGCAATGTGGTCTATGCTTCCTGATTGTGGCGTTCAGCTTTTCGGAATGGTAGATTCCGGAATTGATCCCACTTTCAGTGCAAATATTATGTCACCAGTGACTCTTCACCGTTCTTGATGTGGAAACCTGTTGTGTGGGTTCCCCTGCTCTGTTCAGGTTGAAAATTGGCCGCCAGCCGCCGCAGAAGGTGACGGAAGAGAATCCGTTTGGAGAAGGTAGCGTGTTGTCCGTAATACTGCTGCCTGTGCTTTGGTGGTCTACATGCTGGCCATGAGAGCATTGCTTGATTGCATCACACAGACCGCATCTCACCGTACAGTTCTACGCCCGTTAGTACAACGTCGGTTACAAGAAAATCCTCATTAGTAGACGACGATCCAAAATCCCCTGATGCCTGAATTGCGTACATTCATGTCCGGATAGTAGATAGTACTCGTTGTAAGAAGAACCATTTGAACACCCCCCCCCCCCCCCCCCCCCCCGGTTATCTAGTAACAAGTAACGAGACCTGTAGTTGTGTTTTACATCGTAAGTCAAACGGACAGTCGTGCCCGATGAATGTTATGATGACAATGGAAATGGAGACAGGAGAGAAGACATGATAACTATGATTATAGCTTGGATAAGTGGAGTGAAGAAAACAGTGAACCTAGAGATCTCTTGGTGTGAGGACCCTGCTAGCATTAGCCATGAAGGTAAACTTTCGATAGACATTTGAAAATTGAAATGGTATGTCGTAGGATAGAGCTTTGAAGGCACGAGCTGAAGCTAGGAGCCTGAGTGACGTGAACGGAAGCTAGGAGTGTGGCATACATGTTACCACATATCTGTCTACTTGTAGTCCAGGTAATGCTCATGAATCCAGCGGATTCCGTGCCAAGCGGTGCGGGGAATAGCGCGAAATACAGTCCACGCCCGTCGACTCGCGGTTGCCTTGTGCCCGTGGCGACACCCATGTGACATGCAGTACAATACAATTTCAGCTGTGGGTACTGATGACAGCACGTCATACAGTAAACTGCCTAATGTTTGCTATTTCGCAAGAAGAGCATAACGCGAATATCAACCATCAGGAAATCAAACTCTACAGTTGGTGTGTGTGTGTGTGGCCATAGTGACCCGCGAACATTTGCCATCGTAAACTCGCTGGTTCTAAGAGATTGCGAACATTTAGTGACGCGAATATTGGGCGGTTTACGGAAATTGTTTGTATGTTTTGTCTTACTGGCTGCCACAGAGGAGGCACCACCCATGGAAGATGACGATGAAGTCGCCCTATCGGCTCACGTCAAGTTCCAGAGCATGGGCGTAGGCTCTAAAACCAGCGTTCCTGAGCTGAAGCATGCACAGTTCCTGGACAACCAGTTTGCCTCCGGACCGGAAGAAGTGATCGTGCTACATTTCGCCAACTTCTGTGAGTAACCACTAAAACGGGTGCTTTGGGCATAGAGAATAATTATTGGGAGGTGGTGGATATGGGTGGTGTGTGCAAGGGGAATTGGGAGGTGGTGGATATGGGTGGTGTGGGCAAAGAAAATTGGGAGGTGGTGGATATGGGTGCTTTGGGCAAAGAGAATTGGGACGTGGTGGATATGGGTAGTGTGGGCTACAGCCGTAGGTAGGTGGTTGGATAAGGCGATGTGCTGTTTGATGTGCGTGCCTAAGACATGTTATTCAAGCGGTAAAATCAGCTGTCTGCGTTCCTGGAAATTTGGATTGTATTTAATGTAAAATTATTTTTGTCTGTGTAGAGTCTGCACTCATGTTATTCGAGTGTGCGTGTGTGCATGCGTGCGTGCACACGTCTACATGTTTGCACACATGAGCATGCTCTCGTTATGTGTGCTTGTGCGTGTGTGTCTGTTTTGATGACCGTGTACCACTGTTGTTTGCTCTTCGTTGTTCCCCCTGTTCAGTCTCGCCCGTCTCTAAGGCATTTGTACCCACCTTTCAGAAAGCTATGGAAGCCATGGCAGGTATGGTGTGACTAGTGGCTGAGTAGTCGATAACTTTGTCTGCGCAGACGCCGAGACCGGTCGGCAGAGCAGTCTGGCCCCACCACCACTTCTCGTGCCTATCCGGGGAATATAGTGGACTTTCGTATAAAAAGAACACATTTATCATGGTGTCCTGCACAGGGCTGCCATGATAGAGAGCTAGGCAATGAATGCAAAGCCTGGTGTTTGAATGTAAAGAATTGTTTTGTCTAAGCTAATGCCTGAGAAGAAGAGTTTGGTGCGACTTGGGCGATATTGTGGGGATTGTGTGTCACTCCCTACGTGGGAGCTCGCGCTTTTCCTGCCGACTTTGAGTCAGTCAAGTGAGAATTCAAGTCGGTAGGAAAAGCGCGACCTTTCACGTAGGGAACGACACACGAGTGCCTGGGAGTTGTATGACTCTAGATGCGCTCAATCTCCGGACTTAAATAGACCTCCCGTATTTTTCGGAGTATAGTGCGCACCTTTGTATAATGCGCACCCCCAATCTTCATTGGGGGTGCGCACTTCAATCTTCATTGAAGTACATGCATTTCATATTCGGAGCATAGTGCGCACCTGCGATTTAGGGCCTAAAATAGCACATCTAAAGTGCGCACTATACTCCGGAAAATACGGTATGTGCATGCTGTTTCGCTTCTTCAAAAAACGGACAAGTCTGCGGCAGCAGTAGTGTCATCGTCAGCATCATCAGCAGCAGCAGCAGTATTTTATTTTCCATCGGATGCCTGAACAGTGCCGAGCTCGTTTTTTCAGAGGGCCGATAATAAGGCAGAGAGGGTGGGTGGAGATAAAACCAAAACAGTGTCAAGTGAAATGAGTAAGGCGCGGTGGACAGCAGGCCCGGGGAAATCAAGCGTGTTCGTCCGCAGAGCAGCGGGAAACGTCGGGGTCCGGTTTCACGCGCCAGTATAGCAGACCTGGGTGATCGAAGGTGGTCAGCCATGGGCGCGATGGTAGATAGTGTGCAATTTTGCACTAAATGATTTTGGTGGGACATGAGCAATCGGATCACTCTACAATGTGCTGACGTACGATTATCATAATTGTGTGTTGATAGGCCGTGTCAAGAAGCTTGGCTTTTGGGCCCAAGTTATTCTATAAATTGTGTGGTTCAAGCCCATGTCCTGTGTATGCGTGCGTGCGTTTGTGTGTGTGTGTGTGTGTGTGTGTGTGTGTGTGTGTGTGTGTGTGTGTGTGTGTGTGTGTGGGTGTGCGTGTGTGTGTGTGTGTGTGTGTGTGTGTGTGTGTGTGTGTGTGTGTGTGTGCACGTGCATGTATAGATGACAGCTGGGTGAAGTTCAACTGGGTGAATTGTGTAGATTTGCATGATATCTGCGAGCCGTTCAACGTGAAGCGATTCCCGACGGTCGTGTTCATGTCGTAAGTTTTGAACCTGCTTGTTATCACCGTAGCTATGGCAACAGAGGACTGCATTACATCTACAGGGGGGGGGGGGGGCTGTAATAAAACAATTTTCAGAATTTTCAGCCAAAAAATCGTGTCACTTCACATGTGCCGGGATCTATCGTACGGACATCTCACCAGCATGGTGTGTGGACAGGATGGGTCATGTGACAGTGTACTAGGGGCATCGGCATGTACTGCGTCTTAGTGTGATAGCCATCTGAAGTATAATTTACTGACGGCTCTGTTTGCACGAGTCACAGAGTACCACGCATCAGGCTGCAACTGATAGTTTCATGCCGGATGGCAATATTCAGACAGCTGATCATGGACTCCGCTCTCTGACACCTCTGTTTAGAAACTTTGAAATTTCGAGCCCAAATCGGAGGACATTTTATTGATTCACGGCGACCTAGAGCGGATAGTGCTACAGTCAAAACACTGGTATAGTGACCTTGGCATGTCGGTCACCCTGGGACAAGCAGTGGTACTGCTGTGCTGATGTGTTCTATGCTCTACCACTGTGTTTGATTAACATCAGATTTCCTCGCTCATCTCGTCGCTACTCCGGTGCTCTGGAAGTTGATGAGCTGGTGGCAGCCGTGCGTCAGTAAGTAATTTGTGTGTGTGTGTCTGTGCGTGCGCGCGCGCGCGTGTGTGTGTGTGTTTCTGTGCGTGCGTGCGTGCGCACGCGTGTGTGTGTGTGTGTTTCTGTGCGTGCGTGCGCGCGCGCGTGTGTGTGTGTGTGTGTGTGTGTGTGTGTGTGTGTGCATGTGTGTGCATGTGTGTGCGGTCACACGCTGTAAAAACCTGTTATGTTTGCTGCAAGCCACGCAGGAGTCCATTGCGGGACGAGACAAGGACTGATTCATTTTACGAGTATACGAATATAATACAGATGAAAGAGAGAGAGAGAGAGAGAGAGAGAGAGAGAGAGAGAGAGAGAGAGAGAGAGAGAGAGAGAGAGAGAGAGAGAGAGAGAGAGAGAGAGAGAGAGAGAGACAATTCTGCTGCTGCTGTTGCTGCTGTTGCTGCTGCTGCTGTTGCTGCTGCTGCTGCTGCTGTTGCTGCTGTTGCTGTCACTTTCTCTAAGGTTCCGTCGAAACCACGCTGTGAAGCTGAATAGCATGGAGGAGTTCACGTCCTTGTCGAACAACCTTGTCCCTCAGCAGTGGGACAGACCACTTAGCAGGGTGTCCGTTGTCGTCGCTCTGCCTCAGCTGGAAGATGATGGTTAGATTGCATGGCATCAGATCTAGCTAGATTTCATAGGTTCATACACCCATGAACGGCATCCTGTACATGTACGGCCAACTTTGCGTATAACGACACTCGGCCGGGCATCAGAAACGTGTCCTTATGCGCGAAATGTCCTTATACCCGAAGTCTCATTATATGTATACAGGTAAAATGGACTTTGATCTGGGCATGGAAACTCTGTCGTTATTCGCGAATTGTCGTTATATCCTCAGCCGTTATTAGCCAAGTTTACTGTACTTGTGTTTGGTCACTGCCGAAAACTGGTTCTAGTCCGGTGCAGATGATCGCAATTCTTGATATGGGGTCCTACGGCTTGGCTCCACGTGCTGTACCCACTCTGACGCCGCTGCTGAGGGTGTGAAAGTTGAACGTGTTTGCCATGCACCGCAGGGTCATGTGCACACCCGTCTTCTGCAGAAGTGAGCGCACCACCGACCATGTCTCGTGTCGTTGCATTTCTTTTTTCATTTTTATTTCTATTTCATTCCAGTGCATGCCCATGAGCTCAAATCTGGTTAGAATTGAAGAGCAAAAGGGTGATGAGACCTAGGGCATGATCGATTGGGCAAATCCCGAGCAAGTGCGCTTCGAGTGAGCGTGAGCGTTTGGTCGAATCTGATTGAATCCGGAGCAGGTGTACTTGGAGCGGAATCCCACCACACCGGCCCCCACACCGGGAGTGGCCGGAGTGGAAATGGACTTTGGCGTTTTTGGACAGCTTTCACAGAATCTTTGTACAATATGCGTACATTTTGCGTACTACACCCTTGTTTTGTTCGATTGGGCCAGCGTTGCTCAGACCACACCGCCTGCTCGCACTAAATCCAGATTCGCCAATCGATGACACCCCTAGTGCACTCAGCGGCCGACCTGACGTCTCGGCCTCATAGTGAGCTAGATGCATGCTGTGCACTGTGTGGGATTATCTGCTGTGTTGCAGACCTGACTGCTCTGGACGGTCTCGGATTGAACTTCTCCATCACGGCCACGGTTGCATACGCGCAGGGAGAACTGGCCAAGCAAATGTAAGAGCCCGCTTAGCTGTGGCGAGCTCCGGCAGCTTGGCAGGCTACCTTCACACTTGCTAAATCTCTGAATGCATTGATTTTCGTCAGTGTTTAATGGGAGTTGTATTGATTTTCGTGTGCATTTTGGGTAATCGGGTTGTCTGTATTTCTCTTGACTTTGAATGTACGTCAAGCTGAGGTCTTATTGTACAGTCATGTGTGTGTTAAGAACTCAGATGGTGAGCCAAGGAAAAAATTGTAACATGGAAAATGTGGGCACAAGTTATGCGATTGAGTCCAACCAACGGAACCAGATTTTGAACAGACTGGTTCAGTTGGTGGACTCGATCGCATAACTTGTGCCCACATTTTCATGTGTACATGTGGAATATTTTTCTTCAAGTATCTCCTTGGTATATTTCTGCTATTGCCTACAGAAGCAATGGTGAACAGCTTCCGTTTGCAATTGTCCTGCGACACAATGACTTGCACCAGTCAGCAGTCAGGCGGCAGTTGAGTTCTCAAAGGCCACTGAGTGGAGTCGAACTGGCTGGTCTGGTGAAGCGAGCCGCTCTTCCGCTTGTGGTACGGTCGTGGAGATATGTGTGTGTGTGTGTGTGTGTGTGTGTGTGTGTGTGTGTGCGTGTGCGTGCGTGTGCATGTGTGTGTGTGAGTGCATGTGTGTGTCTGTGTGTGTGTGTGTGTGTGTGTGTGTGTGTGTAAAAAAAAAAAAAAAAAAAAAAAAAATGAAAAAGACCAAAAAAGGGATTCACTGGCCAGAAAATGTCACTCCAAATAGCTGTATGGTGTAGACCAGGCTGAATAGTGACGGTCAATTCTTCAGCCTTGCAAGCTGTTGAATGGTGTAATCCCAGCACAAGTTGCTATGGCTTCTGCCGTAGCATTGCTATCATCGCCTCCGGCGATGGGCGTCAAAGGTCAATGGTGTGTGTGTGTGTGTGTGTGTGTGTGTGTGTGTGTGTGTGTGTGTGTGTGTGTGAGGCTGCGTTTACACGACAACGCATGGCCAGTTTTCCGTTTTCAGTCCCGCATTTCTCAGTCCCGCATTTCTTAGTCCCGCATTTCTCAGTCCCGCATTTCTTTTTTCGTTTTCGTGCGTTTACACGATCAAAGCTTATCCGAGGTGGTCTCGGTTTGTATCGTTTTCGCGCGTCTACACAGGAGCAAAGGATCCGCCAAAGTACGTCATTTGCCAAGTGTTGTCGTGGAAGCACCAATCACACTCAAGGAATAGTTGAAAACAGGCCACACGACAGCATAACGAAAATTGTAAAAACAATTTGTTTGATTGTCGGATCCGTGTGAACGGCCGAAAACGGAACAAACGTGACGGAAAACGAGGCCAGCAGACCGTTTCAACTGTTTACACACCCAAATTTATCTGGCAGAACATTTCCGTTTTCAAATTCTTCCACCTTAGCCAGCGTTTTGGTTTTCTTCCGTTTTGGTGTACAACCGTTACGTTTTGCTCCGCGTACCGTGTAAATGAACCATGCATGCATCCGAGAGGATTTTGTTGCGTTTTCACCCCCAGCGTCGCCATGTAAACGCAGCCTGGGTGCGTGCGTGCGTATGTGTGTGTGTGTGTGAGAGTGTGAGTGTGCGTGTTTGTGTGTGTTTAGTTAATACTTACTGGTTTGTAAACTTTGCACTTACCCTGTCTTGAGCATCAGTCCCCATTATGCATCTGATCATCATGAGTCTTAGCAGATCACCAAACATTGGCTTGCCAGAATGTCTTTGACCTGCGTCACTGTGTCTTCAATTAGCTTGTGCCTGTGTGTGTGTGTGTGTGTGTGTGTGTGTGTGTGTGTGTGTGTGTGTGTTTGTGTGTGTGTGTGTGTGTGTGTTTGTGTATGAGCGTGTGGGCTTGCGCACACGCACGTGTATGTGTGTACATGCTGGACGTGCATGCGTGCACATCCATGGACTGTGTGTATGCATGAACAATTGAACATGACTGTCCTCACTGCTCTACTGTACTGCAGGGTCAGCTGTCTCCAGCCACACTCAGACTGTATCGACCCCGCACTACTCGCCTGCTGGTGTTGTTCAGCGCTAGTGATCTCAATGATCGCTCACTCTGGTCTGGTGACCCTGGCCATGGGGAAATCCCCGACATGAACTTCATCTTGCCCCGGGCTCTCCTGGATGCAGCACTCATGTACACGAACGGCTCGCTGAGCGTGGAGAGGAAAGACGATGAACAGTCACCTCTGGTGTTTACATGGATGATGGGGTAAGGATGTGTCTTGTGGTCAGAATAAGCAATTATGCCGTATATTCTCTATTATAAGCACAGGTCTCCATTACTAGCACAGTCTCTAATACTAGCACACTTTGAGCACCTTTCGAAACATTATAAGCACGGTCTCTTTTGTTAGCACGGTCTTGTTGGAAATCAATGCGGCATGCATGATATCTAGCACGTATTTCTTCTTTCTCTGTATGGATGTATTGGTTGAAAAATATAAGCACGGTCTCCAATATAAGCGCGGTCTCCAATATAAGCACGGGGTAGAGGGGTGTTGAAAAAATATAAGCACGGCGCTTATAATAGAGAATATAAGGTAATAATATTAAAGATTTTCCTTTAGGCAATGATCCTGGAGGGTGGTGGAATTTCTGCGGATGCGGAAAGCTTGGCCTCCGGCCGAGTCTCGTGCGAACCGTGACTTTTTTTTAAATAAAAGCAACAACGAGGAGACGACAAGTTTAGTTTCTTGATCAGGAGTACGGGCTGAATTGACATCTGGTTATTTTGAATTTTCCTTGTCAATTAATTCGTACTAACCTCCAACCTGAAACACGCAGATAGGCCTTGGCTGCACCTCGCGACTCAATTTCATCCGAATTTTTACCCAGGACGGCAGCATCATTCATCCTCCCATGAAATCCAGTCTTGTGGTGTTGCCAATGACTGTTTGTGTGTTGCGTGTTGGAGGTGAGTTGCAGTAATGACAAGCCTACAGAGCAGCTCCACAGTCCTCCAAAATTGTTCTAAAACTATTGAATATTCTAAAAGACCATACTGCACTGACAACCTGGATCTAATTTTCTTTTTTCCACGGAGATGTTCCTCTGACCAAAATACATGGAGTGCATGCGCCGTAAGCCTCTTTGTATACGGTTTGTGTGGTGTTCGTATGTGCGTGCAAACATGCTCTTGTCTGTGTGCTTCATTGCACAGAACTGGTCCACTAGCAGCTAGTATCATCTCAACGTACATCTCTCCGCCAGAGATGCCCTCTCTCATAATACTGGACTATGAAAAGGTGTGTGCGGGATAGAATAAATAAAACAAGACCCAAAAGTAGGGATTCACTGGCCAGAAAAAGCAACTTCATAGCTGTGTGGTGCAGACCAGGCTGAACAGTGGGGGTAACTTCTTCAGCCTTGCAAGCTGTTGAATGGTGCAATCCCAGCACAAGTTGCTATGGCTTCTGCTTTAGCATCGCCATCATCGTTTCAGGCGATGTGCGTCAAATGGTCAATGGTGTTTGTGTGTGCATGTGCAAACTGTATATATATATATATATATGTGTGTGTGTGTGTGTGTGTGTGTGTGTGTGTGTGTGTGTGTGTGTGTGTGTGTGTGTCTGTATGTTGTTAAGAGGTGGTGGAAGCATTCTTATGAGAACTTGCTGACACGCACATTTTGCTCTTTTTTGTATTTCCACCTTTTGCATCGAGAGTGTAGTGTCGTAGGTGAAGGTGCGTCGTAGGTGCTTTGTCTTCACACGTCACATGTTCTATTTTCCCTTCCAATGAGGTCCATTTTCATAGATGTTGCCTGGGCCCCCGCAGGCTGGCCGTGAAGTACTCTAGACCAAACATGCGTGCTGTTAGTTTGAAGTATAAACTGCCAACGCTCGTCTATTTGACTGTGCGTGCTGTCTCATCTTCCAAATCTGCAGAATGAGGTGTTTCGCTTCAGCTACCAGTGGGGAGCGTCCACAGTAGCAGTTGACAAGTGGGTGACAGCGTACTTGAACGGACAACTTACTGCAAGCTGTAAGTTTAGTGGAACCTGTCCAAGACGACCGCTCAGGGGACCTTCAAGATGTGGTCTCTGTTACCAGGTGGTCTCCTTATCGAGGGTCATTTGACTGGAAATAGCATTCCTTGGTCCTGGTTCCAGTGGTCTTCTTGGACAGGTGGTTGCCATATCCGAGTGGTCGCCTTGACAGGTTTTACTGCAGTGCAATGTTTGTCCAGTGCCATTGCGGCTAGTTTGGCCTGGTACTTTGCATTGTAGTTGTGATTGCAGGACCGGCGGAAGCGGTTATTGATTGGTCCGGCAATACCCTAGCCTTCCATACAGTTTGTGTGAGGGTATACACATGACCTCTCAGCAGTAACAGGCGTGTAGCACCGCCGTTGGAGGTGGTCTGGTTGTAGGGGGTCTGGGGTGTCCCCGAGAGTTTTTTGAAATTAGGGTGCAAAATCCTGCATTCTGGGCACTTCTGGGCAAAAAGTGGTCCGGCCAAAGCCGGACCGGCTGCTACGCCCTTGAGTAAACACACGTTTCTCGCCTAAATGTTGGTCTGGCCATGGCCTGGCCAATCGGACCGGTTCCGCCGGGCCTGAATTGCACACAATTAAATACACGTTTCTCGCCTAAATGTTGGTCCGGCCATGACCAGGCCAATCGGACCGGTTCTGCCGGGCCTGAATTGCACACAATTCCTATCCGAAAGTGTTGTGCTGCCATGCAAATAAACACACGGTGGAATATGCAAGATCAAGACAGAGGCGTGTGCGTGGGCTGAAAAAATATTTGGTGTCCCCGGCTTGAGTTCTTTTTCTACTCTCTTTATTTCTCTGTTTCCATCTATATCCATCTACATATCCATCTGTCTGTCTGTCTGTCTGTCTGTCTGTCTGTCTGTCTGTCTGTCTGTCTGTCTGTCTGCTCTCTCTCTCTCTCACTCTCTCTCTCTCTCTCTCACTCTCTCTCTCTCTCTCTCTCTCTCTCTCTCTCTCTCTCTCTCTCTCTCTCTCTCTCTCTCTCTCTCTCTCTCTCTCTTTCTTCCTACCCCCCCCCCCCCTCTCTCTCTCCCTGTCTCAATCTTTGTATGTATACATCGCCTGGCTCCGTCTCCTTACAGTACACACATCATTCTTGTCTTTATTATCGCTATCTGCAGCTGTCCTCTACCCCGGCAAGTGGACACCGCAGAAGGAAGGCTACGACTTCCTCTCCAAGGCCGTTGAACGCGGCGAAGCGGTGGGCACGAACCCCGCCGACACACCCGCACCGGGTACGCAGAAGAAACGCTCTCGCATCTCGACTCGCGGCGGCAGTACACCTGACCCTGACCAAGACAGTGAGGGCAGCAGTGCGATGCCTGTACACGACAATACAGTCGATGTAGATGAACAGGAGCAACTCGATACGGCCGAAGTGCCCAGCGACGAGGTCATCGACACGCGGGAGGGTGAAGACATTGATCAGAGCCACGACGACTCCGTGTGGGACCCGCAGTACGATGGCGACGACAACGACGACAATGCTTGGTCTGGTTCTAACTCTGACTCCCGCACAGGCTTCTCTCGGAGCGAACGTGTGCAAAGTGTTCACGAGCGCGATGAGCTCTGAGAGCAATTGTCCTTCTCAATTGTCCCCAGCCCCCCCCCCCCCCCCCAACGTTCAAGCATTCAGCCACTCTGCTATCTGTCTTGGAGATGGATATGAGTATAACAGTGTGTTATGACTCTCATGGTGTGGTATACATGACTATTGTCACAGTATTGTGTCTATATTTCCATAGCCGTCGCTGAGTTCGGTTTTATACGAGAATCATAGTGGAGTGTTCCTATCTTTCAAATTTCAGATTTGCTTGTCTAACACACGAAAATTCTTGAAAGTATTTTGCAGAGTTCCGAATGGCAAACTGGCTACTCACTCTGATATCCGCTGAAGATGATCTGCCCGAATCTCCATCCGGGCAAGCGTGGTGTATTGGACAGCTATTATTCTACAACAGTATTATGAATTTATGATAACCAGCTTTTGATAGCAGTATTCAGCAATTATTTAAAAATGTACAAGTAATGTCGTAGTTATGCGGGTATGCTGTGTGTTCTTGTTCAGGATAACAACGCTGATCGCTCTACCAGTTTCTGCTGTGTGTTCGTGCTAACAGTTACGCTGTGCTCTCTGATGAGAATGCAGCAATTGTTTTTGAACTTCGGCCATGCGCCAGTATGGCTACTACTGTAAGCCGACCACATTTTCGGCCAAACATGATCAGGCCGAAAATAGCCAAAAAATAAACATGCGCCGAATATCTGTTGACATAATTATAGTATGCTGTATTGATTCCCTATTGTGGGTGAGATATGGGGATCCCCCAAAAGACTCCAAAGTTACCATACTAGGCTGGCAGGCTTGGCTGCACCAGGAAGTAGGGTACAAGTACAGAATGTGACCAGTTACACCAAGCCTGCCGAGTACTAGGTACTGTTAGGCAACAAATATTCGGCGCATATTTATTTTCGGATATTTCCGGCCTGGCCATGTCTGGCCGAACATTTGTTGCGGCCGAAATGTTGTGTTACAAGGTTCAGTGTGACAGTGTATACAAGCGGCAGCAGTACAGGCCGAAAATTTGATGCGGCTGAAATGGGTTTTAGCACTGGGAGGCTGAAATTTGAATGGGCTGAAAATTTGTTGACGTACAGTACATGAAACCATGCATGTACTCTTGCCAATACAGTGCTGCGACAGGATTGCGAGTTCATCGTCTTCATCCGGCTGGAGCTTGTTTTGTTCGGCAGTCAGGTAGTTCACAACAGGGAGTAGTAATACACCGGTATCTTACTACTCCCTGGCTCAAAGACCGTGCAGTGGTTCATGGAATCATGGGCCAGAGCGTCTTGCGGGGACTCGTGGCGTGATACCTTAATATTACAGTATTTTCTCTAATAAAAGCCCAGGCCTCCAACAACAGCCCAGTCTCCAATAATGACACGGGATGAGGGTTGTTTTTAAATCATTATAATAAGTACAGTCTCCTATAGTAGAGCGGGCTCAATTGGAGTATGCAACAAGTGTATTGACTGCATTTAAAAAAAACCCAGCAGTACAGCCCAAGCATATAATTTGTAAGGAGGTTTTCGGTCTACTACTAGTACAGTACTTCCTTCCAGGCGCCCATGTTATCGTGAAACATCAGTATTTGACAATATTCCAGTTCAGGGACGGTTGAGAACACCAGTCTTGATTATGGTCAGTTTATGCCTATTTAGACTGGAGTTGGCTTGATAGTGGAGCATTGAACAAATAAAAGCACAGTCTCCAATAATAGCGCAGTCTCTAATAGTAGCGCGGGTAGAGCTGTCACTGAAATAATAAGAACCCCGGGCTCTTATTAGAGAAAATACGACATTCTTCAATGTGGTACATGCATCTGCACAATCTACAACAGTCCTAAAGAACACTGGGGACCTTTCGCATCTGCAGTGAATCGAATGCGAAACAAAAGTTTGATTCGGCTCGCCCCCGTTTCGTTGGAACAGATTCAGGTTTCGCTAGTCGTCACGCTGATTTCCATGGCAACTACGAATACGGCCGGTAGCTTGGCGTACACGTGCATGGATCATGGAATCAAGGGAAACGTGTACATGGCAAAAAATGCGTACCTGACGAATTCGGAACGATCCACGAATGAAGAGGCTTCCATTCGTGAAAGCGAGCCCTCGTAAGGCACTCTGACGAATCTTCGAACCCATGCGACGAATCAGCATTCGTTTCGTATCCGTACGCGTGTTGCGAAAGGTTCCTACTAAGAAATTTTAGAACCGAACGTAAGAGCCTATGAAGAAAAGGTAACGTTCGGTTCTAAATTTCTGATGGTTCTTTTGGACTGGTGTGGATTGCATATACTACATTGAAGAATTGGAGACGCTTCTAATTTGTTCTAGAAATACAATAGAATTATTTATTTGAGGGATGACCCATGCAGAGAGGCGCCTTCACTACATGCAGATCATGCAATCACTTCTACACTCTACAACTACATTGTACAAGGCAACAGTAGTACTTCTGACGTCATTAGTTGAAAAATCTGTCCGACATGACAGCACTGCATGCAGGAATTCAACGCGGCTCACCTTCACAGTGGGCAGAGGGTTGGGTTGTGCACCAGGCTTGCTATACACTGGCCAAAGAGAACAGTTCTGAGTTGTTCAACACCAAACAACGCATACATACCAAGTATAGAAAGGCTCAAATGCGAAGGGCCTACAACACAACATTTGACACCGAAGGTGTTTTTCTTCTTCTTTTGCTCTCCTTTTTTAGCAATGGAATGGTACATGCATACATGTAGATTTGTTGATGCGTAGACCTGCACATTTCAACAACAAAACTCCTGATCCTTGCACCCGGAAAACAGGACTGGCCCATGCAGACATATACACGGCCCAGCTCATCTACGTGGCCATGTAGTGCCGATACGGGGCAGTGGGTTTTTCGTACCCACGTCCCACTAGTACCCGTACACACTGTACTCTTCACGACCGCAACACCACCCGGTTTTACCCAATCATTGCATGCGCTCGCAGAGCCAAACTAGCCGCGACCTCCCTGTCCCAGCTCCTGTCCTGTGTAGACCTCGTGCATACCGTAGTACAAATAACCTGGTGACTCGTGTTCAGAGGATCAGGCCACTCGTAGACCTACTTCGTCACTTGAACTGTCTTTCCTGCTTCAATCTTCACGATCATCTCCACTATTTGCAAAACAACCATCTAGATCCAATCTGTGTTTACTAGTATGAGGAGTTCTGGACTCTGGCCAAGTCCTTCTTTTGAACGACGCTCGTAGGATGTGTTTGGAAGCAGGCGACGGATATTATAGTTTGCCTCGAGCCTGCTTGGAGCGGCTCGAACTGTGGGCTTCCGTCAGCTTGCTTGACCCATGAGGAATTGGTTTGGCTGAGAAACTCGTATCAATAATTTAGTAGTGTTTGGTGTGGTGGGAAGTGACGGGCTGCTGTCCTCAGGCTGGGACGCTGCGTGGTACATTCGACAACCTGTAAGCCAGCCAGCCAGTCAGTTATTTTTCCTGGAAAGGTAAGCGGATTCATGGAGGGTGGTACGTGTGGATGTTTTCGATCTTCATCATTTCCAATTCGAGGAGTTGATTGAAATGCAGGCTTCGAAATTTGTTCTACTGTATATGGAAGTAGCTGGTGTCCGTAAATGCTCAATGGGGCAGGTGAAGTCGGAGCAACCGGTCAAATTTGACAGGTGCACGGGAATACACCCATACAAGGTTATGGCGTCCATGTGTTGCAGCACGTTGCAACGATCCATATCCAACGATCCGTGTCCACGCCGGTCACAATGCATGCCCCGGACTCGATTCATGTGAAGTGCGTCAAGCCGGTGACAGAATTGATGTTTCATCACAGCCTAGGAGCTGTGGCATCACTCATGAGACATGATCCTCAGCAAGAAAGCATCCATGCCTAGTAGATCTACCTATGGTGAAGTAAAATTTTTCATAAAGATAACAAGCACATAGAAGGACATGTAAACACACTCTCTGACAGGAGCATGGGGAGAATTACTGAGGTGCTTGTGCTGCAGTGCATGCACCCACATTCCTTGCTCTGCACTTAGCCGACAGCTTGTTGAACTTCAGTGCACCAGAATTGTCGAGAACTGCTGCACGCACAGTGCGTTTCAAAAGTTTGGACCGTCATTCCCAGGGGTGTCGGAAGGTATTTTAGTGTGGTACGGGCAGCCATCTCAGGTACAATTTCCTCGTGTGGAAGGGGTGGCTGAGCGGAACATTTTGGAAATTTAGGGCTCAGATGAGTGTATTCATTTTTATTGATTCACGGGGTACCTGGGGTAAAAAGTGGTACGCTCAATACCGTAGTGACCGTACCATGTCCGACACCCCTGATTCCAAAAAGGAAGAAAAAGCTAGACGAGCAGCTGTACCACATATGTGATCACTTTGCGCATAAAAATTGTACAAATGCAGGGAGGCGTCGGACACGCTACGGTCACTACGGCACTGACCGTACCACTTTTTGCCCCAGGTACCCCGTGAATCAATAAAATACACTAATCTGGGGTCTAAATTTCCGAAATGTTTCAGCAACCCTCCCCCACGAGTAAATTGTACTTCAGATGGCTGACCGTACCACCCCAAATTACTTTCGGATGCCCTTGCTGAGTGATTGGCGAGTGGCAGCGGAGTGATAGTAGCGTGTAGCCATGTTACAGACAAGAACGTTGCTGTGCAAGGCGGTGTTGTGCTACAGTGAGTTGCTGTGCAAGGTGGTGTTGCGCTGCTGTGAGTTGCTGTCCAAGGTGGTGTTGTGCTGCTGTGAGTTGCTGTCCAAGATGATGTTAAGCTGCTGTGAGTTGCTGTCCAAGGTGGTGTTGCGCTGTAGTGAGTTGCTGTGCAAGGTCGTGTTGTGCTGCTGTGAGTTGCTTTCCTTCCGCCACCATATTGGCACTTGCAGCATTTCACTGGCTATTTTTGTTGTTGCGTGAAAGTCCCTGAGTTGTTGAGCCATGGTCTGCCGATGTTATGTATGCTATGGACAGTAGGGTATATAGAGCCCAAGACCATTGGGGATTCTTGGAGACCAATAGCAATGGCCTCGGTGTCGGACAACGCCAGTAAGCCACAGGGCAGTTGATTTGGAGCTGAGCGGTTTACAGGTTCGGATCCAGAGAGCTCTCCAGGGGGGGGGGGGTTCCAGTTTTGCCAAAACTGAATACTGTAAGACATGGTATTATAACGAGTCGCAAATTTAACGATTGCCCAAAATTCATCGGTTAACGAGAAGATATGTTAACGATCCTGCAGTATTCCGCCATATCCAAACACAACATATATGAAGCCATACGGCCTAAACGGATCATATTATAACAAAGAAATGTCAAGAAATGTCATCCGCTAAAACGTTACATTTACTTCCTCGTTAAATATGCATGTCTTACAGTAGCTGATACATGTACAATCATGCATAGTAGTACATTTGCGAAATTTAGGGGGCTCCCCGGACCCCCCCCCCCCCTCCCCCCTGAATCCACCCGCCCCTGGATTTAGCCTGCTGCCAGCTTATCAGCGTGTGCATTCACCTGTGCTTTTCAGATGGCGCACTGTCGTTCATGTCAAGCTCTGCTGGTCATCTGCTGGGTGATGTTGTCCTGGTTCAGCGGTGATGGCGCCTACGCCTTGGCCGGCGGTGTGTGCCAGCTGACCGCCATGCCGAACGGCGGGGTTGTGGGCAACTGCAGTGGCTTGCCAGAGGGCGGCGCTATAGTGAGAGCTGCAAGGGTGAGCGGGCTCGGTGTTCCCGACATGCCGTCTCTCACCGAGCTGTAAGTAGATGTACTGCACATACATACACACACACACAAACACACACACACACACACAAACACACACAAACACACACACACACACACACAAACACACAGACACACACACACACACACACACACACACACACACACACACAAGCTATCTGCAGTGCAGCTGTGCTCACTGAAATCCGACCCAGAGTGTCAAACTGACGCCGTGGACCAGTACCGATCACATCATTGTACTTGTGTACGTCCAGCCGCATTCGTACTTCCAGGGCGCCAAGGGCCGTGCAAGTTGAGAAGGCCGAGCACAACATTAGTACCGCATTAAAGAGGTTTTCTCGGCGTGGTTGGCATGCACACAGTATGAAGGACACAGCCCACTGTGTCCTAATATCAATCAATGTCTTTACAAAATTTTACCCGAATACACTTCCATTTCTTTGTTCATTACACTTAAGCTGTGTTCACAACTGGCGCGTGTACGCGTGAAACCACGCGTCTGTGCGTATTTTTGCTGGCTTTTGGGGCACCATGCGTACGGAAACGCGCCGAAATGGAAATTCCAACATGTTGGAATTTTCAGCGCGTATCAGGCGCGTACCAGCGTACATGCCAGTCACTCTGACCGGCGGGGTCAAAAATTAGTACTCGAAAGTGTAGCACGCGCTAAATACGACTAGGATTGCTGTTTTTTATGAAAGGCTGAGCACTCGTCTGGGCACGCATGAACCACAAGCATACCGCGCCCACGCGCCAGTTGTGAACACAGCTTTACATCTACCCTATGTGTGTGTGTGTGTGTGAGTGTGTGTGTATGTGTGTATATATGTGTGTGTGTGCGTGTGCGTGCGTGCGTGCGTGTGTGTGTGTGTGTTGGTTATGCTCTCATCTTCCCCTTTCAGATATATTGAGCAGAGCGATCTACCTTCGCTACCAAAAGAGCTCTTCAAGGGTTTGTCAAATCCATCACTTTTGTCAAATCCATCACTCATCCGCAGGCTGTAAGAACATGCACGTGCCGTTGCAGTATTATGCAGCAGCTTGAGCCTTAGATCTTTGCTGGGTGGTGGTGTTCCTACGGGTGATGGGCACTCAGTCAGACTGAGTCTCAACCCAACCGTGATATTTTTTTATGATTTAGAAACGAAAACTAGTCGTTTCTCTTCAACCCCTCCCCCCTCCCTCAGCAACGAACACATACAAACGATACATAGTATCGACAATTTTTCTTTTCTTTTCTGGACGTGCCCACACATACAAACTGTGCATCGATATTTTTCGAGAAACGAACAGGCGCTCAACCCCCTCCCCCTAAACGACTAGTTTTCGTTTCTAAATAAACATCTATTTTTACGGATGGCCCCTAACCATTGTTTTGTTTTGTTTTTTGTTTTTGTTTGTTTGTTTTTCCGTTGGCTGTTGCACCAGTGATGTCATGTTTGGTGATTGCCGGTATAAGAGTTTACACCGTGGAGACAGAAATCGGCCGGAAAACCCAACCTCTCATAACTTCGACTGGCATGGCATGTTTATCCAACCTGCACTGTGTTAAGGCCGATTCACAATACAACTTCTTGCGACGCGACATGCGACTTGCGACGCGACATGCGACGAGCTGCGACAGCGACACACGGTTCACAATATTCTTCATGTTTGCGACATCATCATGCACAAGTAGTACTATGCACGTGCACCCAGGGTCGAAACTGTACTCCATTTGTGTATGTCGCGTGTCGCATGTCGCAAACGTTGATCTTTCTTCAACTTCTGCGACTGGTGCCTTGCGACAGCTTGCGACAGCTCGCGACAGGCAGTTTCTTGTCGCAACTGTCGCAAATCGCGTGTCGCGTCGCAGGAAGTTGTATTGTGAATCGCCCTTTAAACTCATTTCACACGTGTGTTTTGTTGCTGTTGCAGCTCACTAAGATTCAACCGGATACGGAACTTGCCAATGCATCCATCCTACTTTTCTATCTTCACCAACAGCCTCCGGGAGCTGTAAGTGCGAGTTGGTGTGCCAGCGGTTATCCACCATTGGTTACGATCTGTTCAGTTGTGCAATTCCAGTGCGAGCTGCCATATTTGTTGTGTGTGTGTGTATGTGCATGCGCATTTATCAGTTACTTTCTGTTGGACCTCATGCCTTCTTGGTGTCTTCTCAGCTGTGTCTCCTGCCTTCCCATCTGTGCCCGGTTTTCTTGTCCTTCTTTACTACTTCTCCACTTTCACACATGCTTCCCCGCGTGTGTGTGTGCGTGTGTGTGTGCGTGTGTGTGAATTCATGTGCGTATGTGTGTTTCTTTGTTTTACAGGGATTTGTCTGACAATCACATCGAGATAGTCGGTATCAGTTCTCTGGCAGTCCTTTCCAATTTAACTACGCTGTACGTAATAATTATTCTGATGAAAAGCTTGAAATACACCATTCCGGTGACTGTTGCAGGATTCTACCTGGTACAACTGTCTCTATAGATGATGCTAAGATCAGTACTGTAGAGCGACACACTTTCGCGGCACGCAAGAAAATAGCGTTTTCATAAATTGGGTTTGTTCACCTTTGCGATTCTATCTCTTCAGCCGGAAGGTGGTACTGTCTGCAATGTACGGAGAGGCTCGCAGCGAATTATATTCGCTAGTGTGTGGTGGTCGCGAAAATAGCGAAATTTAATCTCTAGCGAAAGTTTCTCGCTTTACAGTACTCAGGCCCGCCGGAACCGGTGCGGTTGGTTAGGTCAACACCGGACCAACTCTTGTAGCTACCAACGCATGCTTACTGCTGAAGAGGGTATAATATGTCCCCGCCGTATTTTACACAAAGTATGAAGACTGTGCTATGACCGGACCAATTGAAACTGCTTTCGGCGGTCCTGTTACTAGATACACTGACCGCTGGAAATACGTTACTCACTCGATTAGAAGCCCCTCTTGAATAATAGCCCGTGTAAAGGGAATGATGAGTTAGGAACGCGCGGGGTCAATGTGATGCACCCGCAGAATAGGCAACAGCACAGTGCCTTACAGTATCAAGAAAGTTCTAAAATTACACGAAATGCATTGCATTAGACCTGGGATGTACAGCACCTTGCCTCAAAGGTCTAGAGTTGTACAACCATGTAGGTACAATGGCTGTACTGTAACACATGCCACTGCGACCACTCTGATACGGCGACCACCTGTCCTAGAAGGCCATAGAGTCCATGACCTGATGCTATCACTTCCACAAACATGACCCTGGATTGGGGGAACCCCCTGTACACGGAGACCACCTGTACATGGAGACCACCTGTACACGGGGACCACCTGTACACGGAGACCACCTGTACACGGGGACCACCTGTACACGGGGACCACCTGTACACGGAGACCACCTGTACACGGGGACCACCTGTACACGGGGACCACCTGTACATGAGGACCACCTGTACACTAGGACCAGATCTTGAGGAGTTCATGCATGGTCGAGGCAGGTTTCGCCGTGCAGTAAAACCTGTGAATGCAACCACCTGTCCAAGAGGACCACTACAACCAGGACCAAGGCATGTTACCGGTATTTCCGGTCAAATAACCCTGGAGACGAAGTCCACCACCTGCACCCGCGGACCAGATTTCTAGGCTCCCCGAGTGGTCGCCTTTTAAGTTTTAGACAGCTTTTAGTGTACACCACACTGACAGTAAAATTTTCATTGTGTTGAGCTTTTTTTGTTGTCTCTTCTTCTCTCGTGTTGTCACCTTTGTGTGTGTGTGTGTGTGTGTGTGTGTGTGTGTGTGTGTGTGTGTGTGTGTGTGTGTGTGTGTGTGTGTGTGTGTGTGTGTGTGTGTGTGTGTGTGTGTGTGTGTGTGTGTGTGTGTGTGTGTGTGTGTGTGTGTGTGTGTGTGTGTGTGTGTGTGTGTGTGTGTGTGTGTGTGTGTGTGTGTGTGTGTGTGTGTGTGTGTGTGTGTGTGTGTGTGTGTGTGTGTGTGTGTGTGTGTGTGTGTGTGTGTGTGTGTGTGTGTGTGTGTGTGTGTGTGTGTGTGTGTGTGTGTGTGTGTGTGTGTGTGTGTGTGTGTGTGTGTGTGTGTGTGTGTGTGTGTGTGTGTGTGTGTGTGTGTGTGTGTGTGTGTGTGTGTGTGTGTGTGTGTGTGTGTGTGTGTGTGTGTGTGTGTGTGTGTGTGTGTGTGTGTGTGTGTGTGTGTGTGTGTGTGTGTGTGTGTGTGTGTGTGTGTGTGTGTGCTGCCACTGTTGTCTCCACACAGCAAGCTGGACCGCAACCACATTAGTGTGCTGGCTCCAAACCTTCTCTTCAGTTGGCCCCGCCTCACCTATTTGTGAGTGTACTAAGATGAACTGGTCCGAAAATTTGGTGCCGCACACTTTGATTTGATTCGCAGTGAAGAGGCCGTTATTGGAATGTTGGAGTGAGGTTTCATAAAATTTAACGTGTAACGGGCCGTTCAGGGTTACCGATTGTTTTTTTGGTTTTGGATTTTTCAACAACAAAAAAACCGTTTTAGTATCTTTCAGCCCCCACCCACCCACCCACATACACACACATACATGTGGGAAAAGAAACTTCAACAGAAAATTTATTTCAATCTTTGGCACCCAGCATCATTTCTGCACTCTCCATCTGCATTATAATAGATATTTTCAAAACGAAACTCCTAAAACCAACTCCCGAGCGAAAACTTTTCGTTTTTCAGCACTTCCACGTTCTCCTGTTTGTCCCTGAATGCTGTGCATCTGTGCTGTTGAGAAGCTCTCTTGGAGTTCTAGCGCGGGCCTGATCACCATGCTAGCTGCCGGGTGTGTGCGTGTGCGTGCGTGTGTGTGTGTGTGTGTGTGTGTGTGTGTACATGCAACCGATGGCTACGTAGCAGAGGAGGCTTTGCGGTACATAAGTGTCGGCTAGGCGATGTCGACCAGCCGCCGGCCCCTGCCCCTGCTCCTCTTGTTGTTCCTGGTGTAACTTGCACCAACTGTCAGCGTTCATTTAAATCGGCTGCGGGTCTCAAGCGTCACCGTTGTGGAACCTGTCCAAAGCGCCCTACTGTGGCTGAACGCCAACAATTCAAGTTTCACTGCCAAGTTTGCCACAACCGACGGTTCCGGAGGCGGCAAGATCTGGAACGCCACTTGGAGCATTGCCTTCCTCCCCCCTAACCTCTCTGACAGTACCTCCCTTTGGGGAGCGGCGTGGCCATTTCTGGCAGCTGTCAATAGTAGTAGTAGTAGTAGTGTGTGTGTGTGTGTGTGTGTGCCTATCATCTCCACTGGAGATGGGGCGTCAAAGGTCAAAAGGTGCAAAGAGCAGAGAGCAGTGTGTTGTCTGTGCCAGTGTCTGCATGGCTGTGTGAGAGTGACGGCGAGATGGCGTTCACTTGATTCTTCTCTGCCTGTGGTTTGACCGTTCTTTCTTCCAGCTCTGCAACAATGAACCAAATTGAGGCGCTTCCGATCAGCTTTCTGCAGCCACTTTTCTTTTATGATGCTGACTGGTAGGTGTACTTTGCTCATTAATAATTTGCAACACTGGCATTTCGTTTTTTGGGAACTTTGAAGCTCCATGGTATCTGTGTCATTGTCATGGCGCTCTTCTCTCCAGCGTTGTGCTGTGCAGTTGCAGGTATGCATCAGAGATGGCTGTCGCCTTTTTGCGGGGCAACGCGTTCTAGTACAAATATGTGTGTGTAACTTTACAAATTTCGTGATCTTTTATGCAGAGTTGGTATCACAGTGTGGACGGTTGTAGTGGACTTGCCGAGCAAAGCCTAATGGGGGGTGGGGGGGGGGGGGGGGATTGATGCATACCCCCCATTGCAGGATATGGATGGTAGCAGCCGCCTGTTTCCGTTTTGATTTGCGTGTGATCCGTTCACTCTTCTCTCTCTCGCTCTCTCTCTCTCCCTCTCCCTCTCCCTCTCCCTCTCTCTCTCTCTCTCTCTCTCTCTCTCTCTCTCTCTCTCTCTCTCTCTCTCTCTCTCTCTCTCTCTCTCTCTCTCTCTCTCTCTCTCTCTCTCTCTCGTGTTATGCTTGTTTCTCGCCCCGCTAGGTCGTTGACTGGTAACAGGATAGAGTGTGACGCTTCGCTGTGCACCGTGCAGGGCTCGGCAGTGGACACGTCCACCGGTGGTCTTCGTAACGCCACCATGTGCCACAACATCCCCGGCACGTCTCTACTGCAGTATATACAAAGTGAGTGTGTGGGTGTGTGTGTGCATTTGACAATAACAACTGTCCATATGTGCAGTGACATTGAGCAGTGTTAACATGAGAAAGGACATGCATACAGCCTATTTGCGAATGTGCAATGGATCTACATAAAAAAAATTAAAAAAAATTTCACGGTTCGCGTGAGACTCGGCTGGAAGCCGAGTTTTCCGCATCTGCCGTGGGAACGCCACCACCCTCTGGGATCAAAGGCGCAGATGCAGATGGATCTACATGTGTTGCGTGAATGACTCGGAGCTCGCCCCATGTGATTGTGACCACATTGTCATGTGATCTCATTGTAATGTGATCTCATTGTCATGTGATTGCATTGTCATGTGATCGCATTGTCATGTGATCGCATTGTCATGTGATCGCATTGTCATGTGATCGCACTGTTATTCTGGAAACCCGCAGAGTTGAGGAAATCTTTCCAATGGGAAACACTCGCCGGCGTACAAATGACCTGCGTCTACTGTAAAAGCCATTATTCTAACGAGGCGCATGTATAACGATTTCCCAAAATTGACTGGCTTACGTGTACCAAAGGTAACGATTCTCACGCATTCTCAACGCTCAATAGAACAGTATATGTATCGATTTCTGTATAACGATTTCTATTTTAACGACAGATTTCTCCTCGTTAACTCGTTAGAATTAGCGCTTCGTTATATATAATATGGCTTTTACAGTATTCAAACATCCCCAGGCGCAAATCTGTCTGCATGCATGTGCGTGCGTATCCATATGTTTGAACGTGTGCGTGCTTATGTGTGTTTGTCCGTCTGCATATGTTGCCAATGCGTTTTCTGTTTGTGTGTCCGTCTCCAGACCTGTCTGGCCTGACACCCCCCACACCACCGACGTGTTCATCCTGCAGTTCCCCTAGGACGCACTGCCAGACAACACGGTGTTCAGCGGTGTGCATTCCCCCGTCACTAGCTCAAGGTACTGTAGATCGGTTTTCCAAGCACACTCAGAGCACACTCAGACTCCACTGCAGCCACTCATACATTAGGGCACTTCAACTCGAACTTTCCAAATACAGTCTCTTCGCTGCACACGTCACTTCAAAAATAAATAAATAATTGAATTCACCAAATTTTCGGGCATGACTCATCCTCAGGGTAAAAACATTCAACAATGCTGTATACAAATGGTAACATGGAAAAATGTGAGCACAAGTTATGCGATCGAGTCCACCAATTAAACCAGCACATTTTTCCATGTTACAATTTTTTCCTTGGCTTACCATCTGAGTTTGATACTGTAGAACAAGTCATTTTAGGTGCATTGAAATTTCGGTGTCGCGGACCTGCCAGGTTTCAGGTATCATGTAGAGTTTGGTGACCAGCTTTCCCTTCACATACAAATGTGTACACCTTTCTGTACAAACAGGGCGGTTTTCACTATCTTAGCCATTCCACAATATCTACCTTCATCACTGGCGAGAGTTTTATACTCGAAACAGCTGTATGAGGGAATTCAGTGCCAGCAGATGTGACGTTTTGCTGGTGGTGTGCTGTGGCGACGTGTCGAGGTCGGCTGCAGAGCACAGTTATGGTGTGCGGGTTGATGAAAAATCTGCACAGGGCGGAATGGTGCTGATCACCACTTTATCTACAAGTATAATTGACTTAGGGGCCATCCGGAATTATCGATAATTTTCACGAAACGAAAAAGTTTAGCTATTGACTTGACAGCTAGAATGGACTGATGTTTCAGCTATCAATATTTTTCATAACGAAACTCTGCGCAACCCACCCACCCATGAACAACAGTTTTTTTTCTCTTCGTGAAAAATATCGATAATTACGGATGGCCCCTGACAGTAAGCCATGGTAGTGAACCGGGTAGCCCACACAAGGCGGCCGGTACAGAGCACCTCACTCACCTCTTTTTTCTGCATTCTCCGGATTCATAATTTTGGTCTCTGTTTGGACAATTGTTTACGTTCTGGTCGCTCGTTGTCTTCCTCTGCTCATCAGACAACTGCTCGTACACCTCTGATGGAGCGGTGCGCACGGCTGGCTACGGCAATGCCGTCGTGACGTCGTGTTCGGTGTCCGTCAACGGGACGATGCGCGATGGTCACGTGGCCAGCGTCTGCGGCTTTGGAGGCATGCTGCACAACCAGACGGGCTGCATGCGTAAGTATGGAGCTGGTGTCATGTTGCCGTTAGGAAGACTATCTATCTACTGTGTGCACACTGCGGGACTACATCTACCGTCATGGACATGGAAATCCAGTCGAATGACCGGGGCCGGTGCCCTCAGCCCACACAGAACGCTGCGTGCGCAGTGCACATTCATGTTGTTCCGATGCGACCAGAGCGCTGCAGCGCATAAATGCATGTGTGTACCGCTTACTCACGGCTGCATGGCCAACGCCCCGGGGCCGCTAGACATGCGACCGGATTTCCATGTCCACGACCGTACTGTAAGACATGTTATTATAATGAGCTCAGTGTGATCAACAGGTCAGCTCGCAGCACCTTCTGGAAAAATTTCACTTTTAAGGAGGCTCCCACCTAAAGAAGTAAAAATAAAAGGTCCATGGACACCCTGTTTTTTATGCATAGAATGGTGGAGTGATGTCTCTTCTTCAATTTGGTATAGTTTTTAGGTAGGGTCACCAGGCATATAAGAGGTATTCTGGTGTATTTAGTGAGTGTACAATTTCTTGATTTTCGGCCAAAAAATGGTAAAAAAAATTGGTTTTTGACCCAAAGAAGCCTCCTGGAAAGAGGATACTAAGCATTTTCTTCATCATATGTTTAAGAACCACATTTGGAGGTATTTTGGCTACACAAGATAGACTGTGGCTTGGTTTTGCCCTTGGCGAGCCACGTTTTCGAAATTACGGGAACCGAAATTTCCATCGGGTGCTGAATTGTGAAATGGTTCAGCCTGCAACATTTTGTCCATGGACATATTGATTTTTGTGGCTTTCTGTGATCCTTGAGCCCCAAGGAAACCGATAATGGACCATTTTGATGGTGTCACCAGGCACTTTAGGCCCCTACCAAACAATATAGGTATCGAAATATGGTATTTTTAGGCCAATTCTGAAAATAGCATTTTTAGAAAATCTGACCATTCTTGCCTTCTGGACTAAATATCACTACCAATGACATGGTAGTATGGTAATATTATTTTAGAAGAAGTTATTTTCATGCTGCAACCTCCTTTGGACATACCAGACAGTCTGTGCTTGGAAAGGTACATGTATCATTACATGTATGTCATGTAGCCTTCAGTCCTAGCACATTGTTATACGAGTAGTGTACATGTACATGTAAGGCAGCGAGGTTTCATAACAACCTCGACAATGAAACTGGCACATGAATAATGTGAAAGCAGGCATTCAAAATAAGGCACACTGAACACTCACGCGCGTGCGCACGCACATAAATACCCACCCACATGCACGCACTCTCGTGCACGCGTCATTGTAACACTACTAGTCCATAGTAGGACTTGGTATATATAAAAGCATGAAGACCAGCCACTGCACTGGGCATGCATTTGCTGGTTGTCACTTGCGTTGATAGCAGGAGACTCCAGAAAAACATCGCATGAAGGGCAATATGCATCTACACACGCTGGCGTGCACACATACGATATACAATTACATGCAGTGTACTGTCATGCTCTCTCGGCAATTCTTTTTGTGTCTCAAATACGGTTCACAAATGCGCATTCACATGCAACTCCTGTACTGTAAAGCCATTACCACACTGTCCTTGCGGACACCAGAGAGGAGAGGCATACAGAACCAGCACCGTGAGCCCCTTCCCCTCCCCCCTTCCACACCTACATGTAGCTTTGCACCCGCGCGCACACATGCACGTGCATACACACATACATGTACACAGACATTTGCATGCACATGCACACAGTGCACTCGTGGGGACATGTGCATAACCCAGATCAATATTGCGTGCGAACCCACACATGCGGGCACGAGCACGCGCGCACACACACACACACGTGCGTACACACACACTCATACACCTGCCCAACGCTGAAGCGAGGATAGCGAACAAACAACGTTAGACATAGCAACTTGTGCTCGGATTACACCTTTCAACAGCTTGCACACACACATACACACGTGCGCGCATGCGCGCGCGTACACACACACACACACAAACGCATGTACTTGCGCATAGGAAAGGATTCAAAATAATCAACCACAGGCATTTACCCAATACACACCTGAGTGTGCACATCTTAGTTGTGGCATCCCTATTTCTACAAAAGAAAGATTTAGAAGTTCGTCCCTGGTTCAGAACACAAGCTTCTGGCCAGCGTTTTCCTTACACCATCAGTGCAGTACAGTGGTTGACACGAACCTCATTCCTACAGGGACAGTAGCCCAAGTTCAGCAGCTCTGAGATGCGTCGTCCACTGAGCTCAGGATACTCTAGGATCCACAGAAAGTTTCAAACGGTACTCGTGCGACTGGAGCTGCAAGTGGGTCCACTTACCAGCGAGTGGGCAGCCACTTCACGCTCCACAGGTAGTCCATGCTAAATTCCAGTACCAGTACTAGTATCACTACGTTCGACATCGATGTCTTCACTGACTTCAGCCTGCTTTTCTCACCCTTCTTCGTCAGTAATATATTTGTTCTTCGTGGCCACATCGTACCGCTTCAACAAAGTTTTCACAAAAAAATCAAGCAGCGTAGGAACTGCCTTTGTTTTGCATTAGCCATGGCCAGTGATTCTTTCCAGCGTAGAAACAGCCACGGCTACAGAAACCTGCAACGAGTAGAACTACGTCCTGGAACAACTGCGAGCACAGAGAAATCAATAAACTTCTTTCTGAACAACAGCATGTTTCCGCATGGAACACAACATTTTTTGAATCTCGCGGCAAAAAACAGATTTCGGAGGTGCCCTTTTTACACTGCGCTGCGCAACTGTTCGGAGCCTCCTTAATAAATCTGACTAGAACCATTCCTAAATGAGTATCCAGGTACGGATTTAGGGGTCATCCATAGATATCGAACTTTTTTCACAAAACGAAATAATTTCGTTGTCGGGTGGGATGGGGTTGGCCAATTATTTCGTTTCAGAAAACATTTATACAGTGTGTGTAGATGTACATGGCCGTAGGAGCAGTGGCACATTTGCGACTTCTGTTGTGCATGCATGCCAACATTTTGTACGTTCTGAGGGGGAGGGAGGGAGGGGCTGGGTCTAAACTAAAATAATTCGTTTGGTGAAAAAAAAGTTCGATACTTACGGACAGCCCCTTAGAGATTTTAGCTGTCATGTTTTGAATCTTAACAAGCGAGCCTGTGCAGGAGTTGTGTATGGGCTTTTGATGGTACTCTCCAACCCCCGGTAGTCGAGTGTAGAAACTCTGCCAGACTTCAAATAATATCATCCAGTGCTATGTGTACACGAAATCAGCGAACCACGGGCACCTAGCCGGCCAACAGGGGCGTCGGACACCGTATGGTCACAACGGTATTGACCGAACCACTCTTTGCCCCGGGTACGCCGTAAATCAATCAAGAGCACTGGTTTGCGCTCTGATTTTTCGAAGTAACGTTATTTCTGCTCAGCCACCCCTCACCCACCCCTCCCCGCAAGTAAACTGTACTTGAGGTGGCTGACCGTATCAAACCAAAATGCCTTCCGACGACGCCCCTGCCCAAATACCATGGTTTATCAGGAAAACCTGTGAAACACGGGCGTCTAAATTTCCCAAACACCTTGTTTTATCAGCTCAAAACCAGGAGACATCTTTGAGAAGCCTAAAAAGTTTGAAACATACACATTGCTTCTAGTGGATAAAAAAACAAGTGAGCAGAATTATGAAGAAAGGAGGATGGGGGGGGGGGGGGGGCTTTGTACGTTTTTAACTTAACTTGCCATGTGTGAGTTGTAAATGTGCAAGTTACATGACCGAATGTGGTAGTGTTGAAGTGGCACCCTGCAGCAGAAACACAGATTGGCATCACTTTCAATAGTTGCCTCTCTACTGCTCTCTGCCCTGTTGTTGTTGTTCTGTTGCAGCTAATGTGATCAACGCCATACACACGGCGGAAGTATTCCCGCCGCACGACCCCTGCCGACATGCGCAGGCCGTATGCCCCGGGAACAGCAGATGCCAGGGCGTTTTCAGCAGCCCCGGCACCAGCACGAGTGCCAGCCCGTCCACCAGTAGTTCCGACCCCACCACCCGTCCCGCAAGCAGCGGTGGAAGCAGCAGCAAAGGTGGGGAGTCTTCATCCGTGTCGGACACCGATCAGGGGCAACATGGCCAAGCCAGCGGTGGATTAGGTGGCGTCGTGGGAGCCAGCGGCGCTACTGGCAGAAGTGTACGAAGCATTGGTGCGGGCAGTGCTGCCAGAAGCAGCAGCAGTGCTCAATCATCCAGCAGCAGCAGCAGTAATAGCAGCAGTAACAGCTCGTTTTCAACTTATTCGTATATCTGCGTTTGTCTTGGTGGCATAGTAGCTGATAGGGTACATGGCTGCAACAGCAGCAGCAGCAGCAGCAACAGCAGCAGTCAAGGTAAGCCACTTCTAGACGTGTTGTGAAGGCGACAGTGCTAGTGCTATCTGCAACTCCCAGCACCTAATGCTGACTACTCTAGCACCTTTGCCACTTCCAGTCAGGCCTCAGTACCTTTGCCACTTCCAGTCAGGCCTCAGCACCTTTGCCATATCCAGTCAGGCCTCAGCACCTTTGCCATATCCAGTCAAGCCTCAGTACCTTTGCCATATCCAGTCAGGCCTCACTACCTTTGCCATATCCAGTCAGACCTCAGTACCTTTGCCATATCCAGGCAGGCCTCACTACCTTTGCCATATCCAGTCAGGCCTCAGCACCTTTGCCATATCCAGGCAGGCCTCAGTACCTTTGCCATATCCAGTCAGGCCTCAGTACCTTTGCCATATCCAGTCAGGCCTCACTACCTTTGCCACTTCCAGTCAGGCCTCAGTACCTTTGCCACTTCCAGTCAGGCCTCAGTACCTTTGCCACTTCCAGTCAGGCCTCACTACCTTTGCCATATCCAGTCAGGCCTCACTACCTTTGCCATATCCAGTCAGGCCTCAGTACCTTTGCCACTTCCAGTCAGGCCTCACTACCTTTGCCATATCCAGTCAGACCTCAGTACCTTTGCCATATCCAGTCAGGCCTCAGTACCTTTGCCACTTCCAGTCAGGCCTCAGTACCTTTGCCATATCCAGTCAGATCTCACTACCTTTGCCATATCCAGTCAGGCCTCAGCACCTTTGCCATATCCAGGCAGGCCTCAGTACCTTTGCCATATCCAGGCAGACCTCAGTACCTTTGCCATATCCAGTCAGGCCTCACTAGTGATCTAGAAGTCAGTTGTATTCTCAGGCGCATAACCCGCATGCGGCACGGGGGCACATCAACCCCCCCCCCCCCCCCCCCCCGACCATGAAACATATCCACCTAGGTTCGGCATGCACAAAATGACCATGGATGACATGCACCAGCCATCCTACGCATATCCGGCCGTGCACTGTAGGTGAACCAGCTGCACGCCTATATTCTGAACAGTAAACCCGTCTCAATGTTCAGTTCCAACTTGCTAGTCAGTAGCGAGAAGAAGTGGCCAAACATGCGGTAACGAGTCCACTGTTGATGCTCACAACGCCCTGCAGTTGATTTGCTGGCGCTTTTCTCGCATTTCATACCGACCAGTTTCACTTTTTCACAGTGAAACCTGGCGGGAACATCGATTTTGGTTCCAAATCACGTGAACACGCTTATGGGTTGAACTCGTTGTACCGTACAAAGTGACCATGGTGACCCATACACATTTCGAAGAATGCACACTTTTCACAAAAATGTGCTCTGTTTCTGGAGTACCGGTTGGTTGACATGAGGCTGCTCCACGTGCACCAGCTGCTCGATCTTGTTCCAGATCGTACCAACCAAACACACCCTCAGAGATGTAGACTAGAAGAAAAAATAATAATAAAGGGTTAAACGGCTGTACTGTAACGTGAGAAGCTTTTGCTAGAGATTAAATTTCGCTATTTTCGCGACCATCACACATTCGCGAATATAAATCGCCGCAAACCTCTCCGTACATTGATTGTAGACAGTACAAGATCCGACTGAAGAGATATAATCCCAAAAGTCTCTCATCGTGAACCAGCCCGATTTATGAAAACGCTAAATTTGCGTGTCGCGAAAGTTTGTCGCTTTACAGCAAATACTAAAATAGTATCAGCTGCGCACTCATGACTATCTATAGACACACATATAAGCGAGGGCGGATAAGTAGTAGTATTTGCAAGAATATTTTCAGTTGGAAAAGAAAAAAATTCACTGTTTCCTTTGAGACTTGGTTAAAGGGGAAGTTAAGGCAAAAATTAAAATTTCACCAGTTGTAGTCTTCGGGGTGCTGAGTCGAATGGTCGTGGTCCGAGGAAGCTGAGACGCTCCCTTCCTACTTGAATCCCAATCGAACTCGCGCACTTCCACCGAAACTGGGTGACTGCGCCCTACTAGATGGGGATTTGTATGCAAAATGTCACTAAAAGCGCCATTTCGTTCTTATAAAAGCACGGATGACCGCGATTGGCCCATATGTTGTTGTCTTTTGGACGCTGAGTCGACTGGTTTTGGTCCGAAAAGGCTGCGATGCAGCGTTCCTCCTTTATTCCCAATCGAACATGGTTGAAGAAGCGGTCACGTGCTCCTGGGTGCCCAAATCACCTGGTCACCACGCCAGCAGGCGACAATTTTCACACCAAGGTTCAACTCGAGTGACAGGACTGCACCCAAAAAAGGTCAAACAGGCTAGTAAGTTGTACCCTGAAGGCACGGTGACCAGGTGACTGGCGTACGCAGGAGCACGTGGCCGCTTGTTCAACCATGTTCGATTGGGAATAAAGGAGGAACGCTGCATCGCAGCCTTTTCGGACCAAAACCAGTCGACTCAGCGTCCAAAAGACTACAACATATGGGCCAATCGCGGTCATCCGTGCTTTTATAAGAACGAAATGGCGCTTTTAGTGACATTTTGCATACAAATCCCCATCTAGTAGGGCGCAGTCACCCAGTTTCGGTGGAAGTGCGCGAGTTCGATTGGGATTCAAGTAGGAAGGGAGCGTCTCAGCTTCCTCGGACCACGACCATTCGACTCAACACCCCGAAGACTACAACTGGTGAAATTTTAATTTTTGCCTTACCTTCCCCTTTAAACCGAGTTTTTGCATCCATAGGAACGCCACCACTCTCAAGGATCAAGGCGCAGTTGCAGCTGCTAAAGCGGTGGGAAGGCATGTAGATTGGACTCGTGTTGCAACCTGGGCCGTTCTTTTGTTCTGTGTGTGTGTATGTCTGTGTGTGTATGTGTGTGTGTGTGTCTCTCTCTCCTCTCTCTCTCTCTCTCTCTCTCTCTCTCTCTCTCTCTCTCTCTCTCTCTCTCTCTCTCTCTCTTTCTCTCTCTCTCTCGCCTCTCTCTCTCTCTCTCTCTCTCTTTCTCTCTCTCTCTCTCTCTCTCTCTCTCTCTCTCTCTCTCTCTCTCTCTCTCTCTCTCTCTATCTATCTATCACTCTATCTCTCTCCTCTCTGTGTGCGTCTCGGTGTCTCTATGTCTGTGTGTCTCTATGTGTGTGTGTGTGTGTGTGTGTGTGTGTGTGCGTGTGTGCGCGTGTGTGTGTGTGCGTGTGTGTGTGAATGCGTGTGTTTGCAGATATAGCTGGCCCCTCATCTATTAGTCCCGTAATACCGAATCCCGATGCCGGACAGCCATCTTACAGTCAGCCATGCAGTCCCTCTCAAGACAGCTGTCCACCCCATAGACAGTGCGTCGTCGACCCAGCCTCGACGAGCGGAGTTAAATGCGTTTGCGTCGCAGGCATCGCACATCAAGATGATCCGGAGTGTGGCCAGGGTGAGTACATGGTACTTGTGTCTGTAGTTGTATTTATATTATTTTTGGATTCTCCACAGTCCTTGGCCTGAGCCGGAGGAGTCTCCGTGACAGTTCTGCTTTGCCTGGCACAACCATTGCAACCCGGTCAGAGCCGGGTCAGAGGCGGATCAGAGGCGGGTCAGAGCCGGGCGCGTTCAAGTACGGCTACTGCATGTACGTCAGGGAGTCGTGAATATCGTTTTACGACTCCCTGACTCTCGGCGTGTGAACAATGCATACTGTGCACTCTGCCTGTGCGTGCCTGCAGCCTGTCAGAGTGTAGCGCCTTGAGGTACAAAATTAGCCCTCAACTCAACATGTTCCCGTGTACTACCAATCGGGTTGGAAGTGACCCGGATTTCTTTCTCCAAATGGGTCCTTGTACTCCTACCGGATCACTGACTCAGCCCTGGAGAAGGCACTGGGAAAGAGAGAGAGAGAGAGAGGGGGGGGGGGGGGGGGGTAGGTAGGATCAAATGTTGCCAGGTCCAAAGATATCGTCAATACTGATCAGTTGCTGCTGCTGCACCTGAGTTAGTTATTCATCGGGCTGCCTGTTCACCTGCAGACATCAATTAGGACGAGCAATTTATCTTCTGGACTAAAAGCCGCACCTAGCTATCGCGTCACCAAATACAGACACCTACCCTTAGAGAGGTTCCGCACTGCGAAAATTTGAGCAACTTTACGTTAGTGGCCGGGAAAAACCCGTGAATTCGCGAGTTTCCACTCCACTCTCGGAAAGCTGTCTACAGAGAGTACGTAGATAGGGCTCTGATAACGTAGGTGCTCCGTAAGTGGATTGGGGTAAAACTTTATGACTCTCTCGCCAGGTCGAACTGGTCGTACACTGCCGCGTTCGGAGTTGCCAAGGGCGGCTACGTGATTTGAAAACTCCGTATGGCGGAACACAGATCCGCATGCAGTTTACGTAAGACTTTCCGTAGATCAAATACGTTTTACCAACGTACCGTATTATCTCTAATATAAGCACAGTCTCCAATAATAGCACGTCTCCAACACCTTGGGCGGCATTCAAAAAATAAAGTGCTCAGTCTCCATTATAAGCACACGGTGTAAATTCGTTATCTGTACCGGCGAAAAACCCCTGAAATGTGTGTTTCTGACATGAATTTGGCATGGCAACATGCCGCTCTGAAATGAGGTTGAAATAATAATGGAACAGTCTCCAATAAAGTAACGTCTCCATTAATAGCACGGGGCGGAGGTACATTGAAAAAAATAAAGGACCGTGCTTATATTAGAGATAAAACGGTAATTACGTTGTGCGGAGCCTCTCTAATAATTATATAATTATTATATCACCATTCATTTGTTGTTGTAGTATAAGCCGCACGGACTTTTTGGGGTGCAGTGTGAGTGTTCAAAATGCAGCTTATACTGTAAAAGCAGAAATTTTCGGTGGTGTTTTATTTTCGGTAACTTCGGTGCCGAAATTTTCACCGAAAATAACACACCGAAAATGTCGGTATAGTACTAGTACACATTTCCCTCCGCCGAACCGCCGATTTTGGAGAATACCGAAAATATTACACCACCGAAAATTTCTGCTTTTACAGTACTTCGGTAGTACAGTAATGTTGTCAGCCGATTGATCATACCTGCTTGCTTGGGTGCTGACCGCCTTTTGCTAAATCTCTCTTTCTCTTTGCGTTCCCCGCTGCCCAATTCCCCGCGCCAGACGCTAACAGTACTAACAGCAGCACCGCTGTTCCCGTGTCAGCCACACAGGCTGCACCCTTGCCACCAACACAGGCTGCACCTTTGCCGCCGGGCAGCATAGGTGTCGCTCCCATTGGCACGACGGCGGACGGCATCGGTTTTCCGGTCGGCGGTGATCCGTGCGCCACTAGCCCGTGTCCCGTTGAGTTGTGCTCGGCCGACACGACCTCCGTACTCGGGTACACGTGTGTCTGCGCTGACGGTAGTGCTTTCGACGTCAGTACTGGATGCTCCACGGGAAAAGCGGTCGGTCCAGGTGAGAGGTGTTGTAGTGTGTGTGTGTGCCAGGATGTTTGTGTTGGTCTCTAGCTACCAGTATAATGCGCCGACAGCGACGAAACACTGGACTTGCTTTTTGTGGTGCTGCTTGTCGACTAGCTGCTCCCGTCTGTGTGTGTGTGTGTGGGGGGGGGGGGGGGTGTGTGTGTGTGTGTGTGTGTATTCGCACGCACGCTTGTATTGTGCATGCAGCTATACTAGTCGACTCTGCCTGTTCTCAGCTTCTCATGCGCGTGCTGTGTGAATGCCTTGATGTGTATCACTCCAGGCCCTGCAATCCCAACCACCGGCAAGGATCGTGACTCTCTAATCTTGCCATCAACCACAGCCCAGGCTAATACGAGTCGTACTCCAACCGACCTTGGCGATCAACCACACTCATCTACCACTGCTACAGCGCCCAGTCGGAACGAATCATCTGATTCCAGCGTGGGACAGTCGGTGGACGTGTGTGCAGCTGGTTTGCATAACTGCACTGGGCCCAAAGAGAATTGCATCGCTCACAATCTCAGCACGGCTAATCGGAGCGAGGCTGCTGGTTTTCGGTGTGTGTGTCAAGGTGGGGCAACACCTCACCCCTTGATCGGTTGCCAAGAAGGTACACTCATGCCTGCGTTTGTACTGTGTGTATATTGTTGTATACGTCCATGCTTGCGTGTGCGTGTGTGTGTGTGTGCATGTGTGTGTGTGCATGCGTGTGTGCGTGTTTGTGCGTGTGTGCGTATGTGCATACGTTTGTGCAGTGTAAGTCTGAGAGAGCAAACATATTTTGAATGTGGGAGCATGCATCGTTTGCGATCCTGAGTGAGTGGATGGGGTATTGGCATGCGCATGGCAATGCCCGCATAGAATGATCCATTGACTTTCAGACAGAAATATCAAGACCGGGCTCCACAATTTCTGTTTGGGTTGGTAATACGAGTACTTCCTATATCGGTGCCTGTCATTCTGCTTCATTTTGCTTTTTTCAGCATTGCCCCTTTCTATTCATGCTCTCTGCTTTCCCTCTTTTCTCTCTCTCTCTCACTATCTATCTATCTATCTCCCTCACTCTGTCTCTCTCTGTCTCTCTCTCTCTCTCTCTCTCTCCCTGTGCAGAGCAAAGTAAAGCTTCTGGGAACAGTAGCAGCGTAGCGGGCATTGTTAGTGGCATTGCCGGTGCACTGCTAATCATAGGTGTAGTGCTGGGAGTGCGTCAGTTCCTCACAAGTCAGCGTACTAGATGTGACTCACAAACGTAAGTTGCTGAGTCCATTCGAGAAAAAGAAGCACACTATCAATGGCCCCTTTCAAATCCCACTTGCCCAATTTGGACCAGCATGTCTGTGCAATTGTCAATGCTATATCAGGCCAAAACACTCCAAACCCGGCTGGTATAGCTTGGGAACGGCTGCTCCGATCAACCCGGACCTTCACCATTGGAATCAGTGCATTATTCGCTACAGGTTGTGACGTTTCCATTTTTAGGGTGAGCTTCCCCTTTAAGTTAAAGTGGGGGTGCGACTTACAATCGAGTGTGTCTTTTATTCGGGGAATTCCGGGTACGTGCTATCAGAGTTTGTACTATGAGAGTTCTACTGTATGTGTGTTTATGCAGGTCATTAAACTCAGAGCCGAGAATGAAGAGCCTGAGCAAATCAATCAGCCTTGGCCAGGTGAAGAAAGGTCGAGCGCCAACCGTCACCAAAGAGATCTGCCCGAACACGGCCAGCCTGATGAACATGCCCGCGAATGAGGACTACACCCAGCTCTACGCCGGCTCCCCGTGTGCCGGCCAGTTGCCGGTGACATCATCGTCGTCGTCGTCGAAGGACCCCAATCGCCTGTCCTCCGGCGATCCTGTCTACGTGACGACCGTCTCCCCGACGCCAAGCCTGCTATCGCGGTTAGCGGCCAAGGTGAACGGTGTGAGCGGTGGTCATGTGACCTACGGCGCCATGTCATCCGACAGTGTTGACAGCCAGTCCACCGTCACGGTCGGGGCACACCTGGCCAGGGACGGCGAACTGAACGAGGTGTTCGAGGACGCGTCCACCACCGAAAAGTGGCCACGACGGCCGCCCGGAGCCGAACACAAACACGAGCAGAACAGCGCTGGCACTGGCGCTGGTGGTGGTGGTGATGACAGTCGCAAGACCGCCCTGCTGCAGAAGTTTGCCCTGCGCATACCCGTGCGACGCAGCGTGTCGTCGAAGAGCTCCTCCGAGGACAGCGGCACGGGTAGCAGTGTCGGTGGCGGAGGCAAAGTCGCCGATCACGCCAGAGTCTGCGACATTTGTAAGCTGAACTCCGCTTGCTGCGAGTGCCGCACTGCCTCAACTAGCCGCAGCTATCAGGATGTCTCCCCGCTCTTCACCAATCAGGACTCGCCCAGCATGTGCGACCCGTCCATCACCTGCCTGGAGGGGAGACTTAGCGTGGCCTGCAATGCGCAAGGTGTGTCAAACGCGTCACCCAACTGCAATCGCCGCAAGAACGCCGAGTGGAAAGTGCCCATTTCGGAGATGGACCTGGCGCTGGACTCGGACTGCAGCGACGACCAATCCAGCGGCATACACAGTGCGGGAAGTGGTGGTGGTCATGGCTTGGACGCCAGGAACAGCATGACACGCTCGTCGCAGGTTACCATGGTGAGCGAATCAGTCACGTCCCACGGCAACACGGCGTGGCTGTCTCCCAGCGATCTGACTGAGGACTCGGGCGTCACCGGAGGTCACAACTTCGGCTCGCTTCTCCCCAGCCATGGCGGTCACCGATCAAGCGAGGTGGTCGACCCTGACAACGGCGAAGAGCGCACCACCACAGCGACGATGACGACAAAGTCCATCGTCAAGCGCATTTCCCGGAGTTTCCGCCGCCACGGCCGCGTCTCCACCGATTCGGACGCGCCGTCGATGGGAAAGAACGCGCTGAAACGGGAGTCAAGCGGCACTGCCGACTTCACTAATGTTCACAACTCGGCAAACCTCCCTGACAGCTGCCCGCTAGAAATTCCCGCCGGCGCCGACATGGAGGCGTTCCAGCAGATGCTCCTTGCCGAGAAACTACAGGGCGACGGCGCAATGTACGATGACATTGACTCGTGCACGGCTGCTGCTGGCCTGGCGGAGAAGAAAGTGCCACCACCGCTACCTCCTCCGTCGTGCCCGTCCAATAGTCTCGACCCCGTGCACTTCTTGTCGGCGAGCGCCCCTGCGTCGGACACGTACGAACTGGCCGTTCAAGCGGAGCAAACTTATCAGGTGTACGCGCCATGCGATCCTGAAATCCGGGAACCCCCCACCACGCGGGTGTCCATCTGCGAGGATGCGTACGCCGAGCTGGTGACCGACTCTCCGCCGTATCCGTACCAAAATAACCAACTGGCCGGCGATGATGTGGGCTACGACGACCTACGGACACATACGTTCCACGCCAGTGCCGACAGCCGCGGCGCCTATGCCAACCCAGACTCTCCTAGCATGCCAGCCAACGCTGCTGTAGAGAACGGCTATACCAAACTGGGGGCTGATAATCCGCACTCCGATAGCGGTGTGTATGACAAGCTGAGTGCTGACCGTGTGCCCACGACCACCGCTGGCCTTAGCGATGGCAAGCTGTGAACGGAGTTCCGCGGTCACAGAAGTTCTCAGGAAGATTCTGACTTTGCACCGCGCACACACGTTACTACCTGGTGCGATGATTTGTGAATACTGGAAGAATTCCGACGCAAGTAATCTTCTGGCATGATAGGTGCAAAGGAATGGACTCCACTGGACTTGTGGCTGGTGTTCGCAAGTGCAATTACAATTTACAAACACTCTCGGAGGGACGCGGTTGTACTCCCTGAGTCTTGCCGCAACTTATGCATCAGACCCTCTCCAGTTTTCACTGATGCCCCTCTGCCACCTTCCTGGGAATCGTGCACATTCTAGATTCCGCCATTGCTCCCGTGTTACCCTGCGCATGCGGGCTGAGGCATTTGAAACCTGGCCTCTCCTTGTAGTTTTAATGATTCGGGCAGCTCAAGCTTGTTTTTAATTTCTATTCCTCACTTCAGCTTCCAGCAAGCACAGCGCTTACTTCTGAAAACTGTGGTCACCCTTGGCCGCCCGCACTTGCTTATTTCCAACGGCTCCACCATGCTTATTTCTTGTACTAACCGTTATACCCCAGTCATTCACAGAATGGCATTACCTCATAATGATCTTACCTAATAATGGCATTACCTCATAATGATCTTACCTAATAATGGCATTACCTCATAATGATCTTACCTAATAATGGCATTACCTCATAATGGTCTTGCCTGATGCTGGCACTACGTCATAACAAGTGACAACACCATCGTCTCACGGATCCTGCTTCACACGTCTCTCACTCCCGTCCGCCGAATTCCAGCTCTGCACCGTGCTATTTCTACTAATAATAATTTATGCAATGCAGCCTCCGCGCTAGCCATTCACAATGTGCCCAGCTTTCCAGCAATGTTGCCTCCATTTCTGGGTAAATATTTATACCCCTTTCTGGGTAAATTTTTATACCCCTTTCTCGGTAAATTTTTATACCCCTTTCTGGGTAAATTTGTATACCCCTTTCTGGGCGATTTTTTTACTTGAGCTGCTTCTATAAGTACCCCCTTCCCCACCCTGCCTAAGATTTTTACCCCAAGGTGAGACCTCTTGCAGCAGCATGTACCGGTGGTACCCCTACTTTCTACCCCAGTAGGTATAGTCTAATAATAGTACTACCCATATCGGTACAGTGTGCGGCCTTTTATCATCATCCTAACTATTATTTTTCTATTGTGTGCACTTGTGTGTATGTGACATTGTCAGCGGTGGTAAACTGTCCTCAAATCTGAACGTGCCGAACAGACTCGGGACTTCGGAAATGAGCGCCGAGCATTCTGTGCGGCGTGGAAATAGAACGCAATAGCAACAGAAAGAAAGAAAGAAAAAACAAGAAGATACACTTGCTAAGGAGCAGGGAGTAGCAATCTACTACTCTCTGCTAAGGAGTACGCGACTGCATTTTTTTATACGAAAGTTCACTATAATTATTCCCGAATATGTGCGAGAAGTGGTGGCGGGGCCAGGTTGCTCTGCCGGCCTTAAATGTCTCGGCGTCTACGCAGACAAAGCACGCCATAATGCAGTAAAACCATGCGGTAAAGAGGACAGAGGAAGCAGACAATTGCAGAAGTGACTGAAGAGGAAGGCCATTATCATGATTTTGTCGCCACCGGTTTGAGAATACATGTACAGTACTGTGTTATGTACATGCTGTATGAGCAGGCAGGCATAGTGATGGCAGTGTGATGGCATTGTGATGCCATTGTGATGGCATTGTGATGCCATTGTGATGGCATTGTGATGGCAGTGTGATGGCAGTGTGATGGCAGTGTGATGGCATTGTGATGGCATAGTGATGGCATTGTGTTGGCATTGTGTTGGCATAGTGATGGCATTGTGATGGCATTGTGATGGCATAGTGATGGCATTGTGATGGCATAGTGATGGCATAGTGATGCCATTGTGATGGCATAGTGATGGCATTGTGATGGCATAGTGATGGCATTGTGATGGCATTGTGATGGCATAGTGATGGCATAGTGATGGCATTGTGATGGCATAGTGATGGCATAGTGATGGCATTGTGATGGCATTGTGATGGCATTGTGATGGCATTGTGATGGCATTGTGATGGCATTGTGAAGGCATAGTGATGGCATTGTGATGGCATTGTGATGGCATAGTGATGGCATTGTGAAGGCATAGTGATGGCATTGTGATGGCATTGTGATGGCATTGTGATGGCATTGTGATGGCATTGTGATGGCATTGTGATGGCATAGTGATGGCATTGTGATGGCATTGTGTCAACCATTTGACTAGAAATAGAGGGTTCGAACGAATCTTCGAACTACTTGCCCAAGCATGTCTCACTCTCAATACGGTAGCCAGCAATCGATTCAGTGCTGGCTATGAACAACCCCGGCACCAACTGTTACTTCTGTCCGCAGGTTGAGTGACCGCCACAGATTGAGTAACAGGTTGAGTAACTCTTGACACGACGCAATCTCCGTACTGCCAGCTGTTTCAACTCGGCTCCTGATCGCAACGAGGTCGGGTGAACAAAATATGCATTTTACATCTCCTTAATGCATCAAAATCAGACTCCCGAAACGAGTGTATTTTAGAAATCTTCAGAGTGTATTACATGTGAGCAGACGAAACGCGCGAGACATCCTGTCACACGTATCATGTCGCCACAAGCTTGTGGGATAGCCTGGGGACGTGACACTACATAACCACTGCCAGGTTCTCATGCTTGCCACCCCATTGTGCCGCCCAATGGCAGGCTTGGCGATTGGTAGGTGGTTTCAAGTTGTCGATTCTTGCTGCCAATATGCAGCAGGTGTTAGTGACAGCCAGTGGATGTTTCTTCACCTTTCTCTGACGCATTTGCTAAAGATCACAATGCTGCGAAGGAGCTTCAAAAGTTACACTTGCACAAGGCCACAGCGCAGCTTCCAAGTTACATTTTCTAAGGATCACACGGTTATAGTAGAGCTTCAAAGTTAGTTACACTTGCAAAGGCAAAATTAATGCTAATACTCAAAGGTTGCAAAATAATGTACTCATTCCCCTACCTGTAGGGGCTGTGCACCGTCATTTGAGAGCTCGAAGGAAAGGGAGAGAGAGTAGTAGTAGTTGTTGTAGTAGTTGTAGAATTTATTGAGAGAGAGAGAGAAGAGAACAGAAGAGCGAGAGAGAGAGAGGGGGGGGGGGGAGAGACGCGCACAAACACACACACACGCGCGCACGCACCACCACCACACAGTGACACACACATACAGAGACAGAAGAGACTAGTTCTCCTCAGAAGGCACCTCAAAATACCACAGTCACGGTCACGGTCATGTCCCTCGGTGTACTCTTCTCGGACTAACCGACGTGAGTTTCGTGTTTTGGTATTCCTATGACGCTCAGAAGGTCACCAGACATCACGTGCACACACACACACAGCGCTCAGCAGGGTGCCGCCGCTCGTTACAGTTCGTGTGTTCTGGATACGTTCAAGACATCTATAACCGGATGTCATCCACGATAATCATTATGAGTCACGTTATGAGTCTATTCTCCTGTGCAGACGACCGCACGGCCACACTAGCACACAGCGCTGCCACTCAGCAGGTTGCGAGCCCTTTAGACTTTATTTGAAGGATTCTCCAAAAGTAAATGGATACTCATCGGGGGAGTTTCCTGGCAGTTTAGCTCTGCACTGCCGCAACAAGTCGCACCAACCTCTTCTTCACATTACGATCCTTGTTGAATCTGTATTAGATATACAGGGATTACCCAAAGGCTAACGCCTATCTGGGGATGATACTCTTTCTCAGAAATGATGGCACAAGACAGTGCACCTTCTACAAGACCGTGTATCTTCTAATGAATTTGAAATAATTATTACACTATTGTGGACTACCAATACCATTGTTAGGATGTACATGTACATGTACATGTACATGTAACTAACGTGTTACTTCCGACAGTCACACCGCGACGGTTCCAAGCCAAGGTGCTGATTCGATCTCTTCTCACGTGCAAACCATTATAGCAGAGCAACCCCTTTTAAAGTTCAGATGTGGACGAAAGTGACATTGCGGGTGAAATACTCTGAGAGAAACCTTGTGAACAACTTTGCCCGACATATCCAACCTTGTTGCGAAGTTGCCAACTTGCCACCACTAAGTAAAATCACTCAGACTGTATACTATAATTATAGTGCGCTAGTGCTCCACTCTGGGGGCAAAGGGCCCGGGCCCTGAGAGGGAAGGAGGTACTTCAATGGCACCCCGAAAAAGGCGCTATCAACCCGTGGAAGCGCCACCGTGCTCTCGGAGCTCCATTGTGAGCATGAGATATCCCACCCACTGGTATTGAATGATGTCGGTGTTCGTTTTGAAGCAGCGAGTCATCATGGTCATCATGCTGACGGATGAAGTGTTGGACTTCGCACGTACCGGTGACTTTCGGTGGGATCTCGTTAGGACGTGCAAGGTAGCACGGGTCGATGTTGGTGCATGCCAAGAGGCCTATGCAAGAGGTGCAACGGCTATAATAATTATAGCCGTTGCACCTCTTGCATATTATGTTAAGTGCTGGTAATGTGTTTGTTGTGTAGTATGGCTGAACGCACGCGCATCCAGATGTGCTTGGCGACTGTGACATGCTGCTCGGCGCTGGGAGGGCGCTCTGCCGCAGATACATGTGTGTGTAACTTGTGGGTGACGGTGTCACAATCGTCCCTGCATGTACATGGGTATGTGTTGCCTGTTGAGAAAGGTCTTGACACGGACTCACAGTGTGTGTCCACTACTCGGCACCATTAGTCACGGTGTCGTCGGTTCTGGGCATGGTTTAACCCGGTTAGGCCTGGATCTTGGCAAATCATGCTTGTGCCACAATCGGATCGAATCCATTTTTCTAGAACTTTATAGTACAATCATGTAGAAGTGTCGTGCCCTCGTGGCCCGCTCCGCAAGTCCTTTTGGTATCGAGAGTAATCACCTGGACCGTGATGTTAGAAAGCAGCTGGGCCTGTACTGCTGCTGGGGGTAGCTCTTCTCAGGTCCGGTACACCGCACACCTACATCCCCTGTGTCTTGTTTTGTGTGTGTCTCCACATGTCTCTTTGTAGCGTAGGGCTGTCCAATCGATAGATTGCGGGTTCGATTCCCGACGATTATGGTCACACACGTCTTTCTTCTCTTTCTCAGACTCTTCCTGACTTTTCTTTCATTCTCCTGGGTGGTTACCAACAGCCAGTGCATGCCGGAGTATGTGGTGTGATGTGTGTGCGGGAAAAAAAATGAAAAAAGACCAAAAAAAGGGATTCACTGGCCAGAAAATGTCACTCCAAATAGCTGTATGGTGTAGACCAGGCTGAATAGTGACGGTCAATTCTTCAGCCTTGCAAGCTGTTGAATGGTGTAATCCCAGCACAAGTTGCTATGGCTTCTGCCGTAGCATTGCTATCATCGCCTCCGGCGATGGGCGTCAAAGGTCAGGTCAAGGTCAGGGCTGTGTTCCCAGTAAAAAAACAAAACAAATAAAAACACGCAGCGTGGTACATGTACATGTATTTCGATTTTGACAGCATGTTACAAGGCGAGGACGAAAACTTAAAGGGGAAGTTAAGGCAAAAATTAAAATTTCACCAGTTGTAGTCTTCGGGGTGCTGAGTCGAATGGTCGTGGTCCGAGGAAGCTGAGACGCTCCCTTCCTACTTGAATCCCAATCGAACTCGCGCACTTCCACCGAAACTGGGTGACTGCGCCCTACTAGATGGGGATTTGTATGCAAAATGTCACTAAAAGCGCCATTTCGTTCTTATAAAAGCATGGATGACCGCGATTGGCCCATATGTTGTAGTCTTTTGGACGCTGAGTCGATTAGTTTTGGTCCGAAAAGGCTGCGATGCAGCGTTCCTCCTTTATTCCCAATCGAACATGGTTGAAGAAGCGGTCACGTGCTCCTGCGTACACCAGTCACCTGGTCACCGTGCCTGCAGGGTACAACTTACTAGCCTGTTTGACCTTTTTTGGGTGCAGTCCTGTCACTCGAGTTGAACTCGAGTTGAACCTTGGTGTGAAAGTTGTCGCCTAGTCCTGGCGTGGTGACCAGGTGATTTGGGCACCCAGGAGCACGTGACCGCTTGTTCAACCATGTTCGATTGGGAATAAAGGAGGAACGCTGCATCGCAGCCTTTTCGTACCAAAATCAGGCGACTCAGCGTCCAAAAGACTACAACATATGGGCCAATCGCGGTCATCCGTGCTT